ATCTGTTCAGTGATGAAGCAACGGCCCAGTATCTGCTCGATGCGGCCGAGTGTCTTATTTCCGAGACTGGGTTAACACGGAACGGTTTGGAACATTTGATCGCTGAGGACTCTGTGGAAAGAAAAGTCACTAATAAGGGTCTTGTCGAAGACCCAGTACCTGGACCTTCTATCAGTGGATTGGTGCGTGAAGTGAAAGAAATCCTGCCCCATATGGATGTTGATCTTATTCAGGTGAGCTCAGGTCAATGTTTACTGGATAGAACGGTACTACTTCCTCTCTGTCACGCAGCTTTCTCTGTGACAGATTTCCAAACTACAGCTCACTAGGTTGTTTCACCTGGCCTGCTGCTACTTGGTATGGGAGATTAAGCCATTCCCCTCCATAGTCATAGGGATCATTGAATTAAACATTCAATTTATAAATGTTGAGCGGTTTATAGAGAGAAAAAAGATCAGTGATCAGTTTTTGTCTACATTCGTTTAGACAGTTCTTTGACAAAGTTGCCCTGGTTAGTCCATACAACAGTGGGAATTAGTCGACTGTAGTCCGAACAGCCAGTTTAGACGGTAGGTGTAGTTGTGACGGCCGACACTCTGTGTCGATTGCGAGTAGGTGACTTGCGTCAGAGAATGAATCGAAGTTGGGCCTTTCTGCATCGTCACTGACACGCATTGAAGCGATCACTCTATGCCGCTTATTTCCTAGGCTGTAACAACCGTTTCTATATGCACAAAAGGCAATAACTGAAGATATCTGTTTACCTTGACGCTAATCTCTAAATCATTCAGCTATAACACTCCTTCAGTGTCTAGCTCCATGCCAGCCGAAGGAAGTACGAGGTTTGGGATACTACCAGGTTGCTCAAGCCTAGAAAGGAGCAGGTGAGATGCTGAGGTTGGGTTCGAACCACAGACCTTGTGATCAGTTAGTTCGGGCCCCAACCACCGAGCCATCTCGAACTAATCTCTGGTCATTCCTCATTCAATCGGGATAGACATCGGTGAATAAAGAACTGGTTGTCTTCCTTGACTTGAAAGCTGCCTTTTACTCTGTGGACTCTCAGGCACTATGTTAGTGTCTGTGGACTAAAGGTGTCCCCCATAAATTCTTGACCCTCCTTAAGATGCTGTACGACAACTTGCGGACAAGTGAAGGTCTGCGGTAAGCGCTCACCTGAGTTCAATACGTCAAGTGGTGCCAGGCAAGGTTGTCCTTTTTCACCTCTCGTCTTCAGCGTCGTCAGCGAGAGGATCATCGAAGACTCACTACTAGCTTCAAATGCCTTTCGGGTCGAAATGCTCTTGAGGCATTGGCCAACAGATTTCGAGTCTGTAGACGATGTAGCTCTTCGTTGATCTGACGCTGTCGTAATGCAAACAGTATCAAATAATATAAATAATTTTGCCTCTTGGTTTGGCATGTGCTTCACACCTGCAAGTTGTAAAGTGCTACTGCAAAACTGGGTGGACCCGAACCCTAACCTCGCTTACGGATGAACCGATTGAGGTAGCAGACAAATTTGTCCACCTGGGAAGCTGTATCTCTCCAAATATGATATTTCCTTCCGGATCGAGAAGGCCATAGCAGCTTTCATGAACCTGTATCATCTGTGGTGTAGGCGTGACATCGGCGTATTCTTCAAGGATCGGGTTTACAATGCTGCGCTCCATATTTTTATACTGGTCAGAGATCTGACTGATGCGCACTGAGGTTTGACCATCGATGTCTTACAAGCACATCCCGAGTCTAGTGGAGACACCGGATCTGTAATGCTGAAGCACGTCGAATGGTTTTCGGGAGAAACAACTCGCCCACCACAAATGTACTTACCACACTATAGGTTTCGGTGGCCTGGTCACGTGCTCCGTATGCCACCTGACCGAATTACTCAAAGAGCCAACTACGCGAAGAATGAATACGAACCAGGGGTGGTCAAACAGTAACTTGGCAGAGGAGTATGAAGGTAGTACCAGCAAACTCAGCTGCGCTGGTCATCACCGTCTCTCTAAATGGGGACACCGAGACCAGACACATCAATTGTTTGGGACATTGTCAGAAATGGGCCGGTCGCGCCCTCAGTGTTGCTTTTGCATCCAAACTGTTGCCTTCAGTGTATGACCCCCCTCCCAAACTTTCCAATGAAAAGTCCACAGATAACCCTGTATCAGCTACCGCCTCCAAAGTGCAGCTATCTACCTCTGCAAATCGTGGGTGAATGAAAATTTAGCAGCCAAGAACAATGTACGTTAAGTGTGCGATTTTCACAACTGCTGCTGCCGTTGCTGGTGCATTCTTCATTCCCTGTTCATATATGTTTTTTCGCTACTCTTAACTTGCGCTGAATCCACAAAATGTGTGCAGGCGACTCAGAAAGTAAAAATGTGAACAACTCGTCAGCTTAGTCTACTTTGCATTCCCGTGGAGTGGATTAAGTGAACTTCGATGTTTCACATGGAAAAAACCAGTTGTCTGATGAAAGGGGAACGTTGTCGAAAAGATGAGTTTGTAAGTAGCTGGCATAACCACAACAATCCAGCGCTAATTCGCGACTCTTGAGTAACCCACGATGAATGTCGGCTTCCAATCTTGGTCTCTGAGATCTTCAAACACTGCAAGGCGGAAAGCCCTAATCCTTTGTTATCATGCACAAAACGGCAACCAGCGGACAGACCACGCAATTTGTTAGAACAAACAGGTGTGCAGCGGCTGATAGATGAGGAGCCATGCCTGGAGTAAGAGAAGGCTTGATGGGATAGACTATACGTTATGGAGTTACTGAGTTCCGGGTTTTCGCCTTAAATCCTGCATCCATGATGGACATTTATACTTCCATTTGGTTGTGAAACTAGACGTTTCTATAAGACATCCGTATACACCACCATTGGACACCTAGCCTATCATGGAGAGAGTGATTTTTGTTTCTCCGTGTTGCCTTCTTTATCTTGAGCTTGATGGCTGAGATCGGGTTAAGTTCCGCTGATTAGGACACTGACTTCGTAGGTCACTGGACCGAATGCCTTAGTGCTCTTTTCGCCTAGTCCTGTGCTGAGCGAAAGCGATCGACAGGTGGATAGTCTGTGACCTGGTAACGAAATATGAAAGTAAACTCAGTCGGGCTGATGACTCGTGGGATGCAACTCACCAACGGTTAATGATACTGGCAGACACGTCTCAATCATGCAGTCAGTGGTGCCTATGCATCAAAGCTATCGCCTTCAGTGTGCTACTGCCCGGTTTCTCGTCCCCTCAGACCGAACCGACTGATTATAACATCGCCCCGATGCTCGGCTATATCTTCCACACTCATCGATTTTCTTTCCACCTAAACTGTAGCAGTTGCTACCAATTTACTCTGGGTACTTGGCTCTCAGTCAAACTGAACTGAGCTGAACTGGAAGCCCCGTCTCCATTCTACAAACTCTGGATGGAAACTAATATTTTCCCACAGTAGGACTACATAATCACTTTCGTTTAGTTCCACATTACCTGTTGATCATTCTACTAGTTGCTGGGATTAGCTCGAATTTTGCTAGTAGACGTATTGGTCTCGATGTCGAGGGAACTGTTCCATAAAGATCAACTGCGTATTGTTGATAGGTTAGAAGTTCCGAGAAGATATCCTCGGGTACTAGAATGTATTTTTCCCATATGGATAATGTATACAGTGGCTTTTCACGCCCGTTTAACTAAAGACAGATAGTTGGTCACTTCACACTCCTTTCGGATAAAGTGTTAAAAACAGTGAATAGCATTACTGTTAGAATTTCCTGATTTGCACGCACAGAGGAGCACCGACATGGGAATGTCGGTTAATTTTACGAATGTTGTTTCAACAAGGGGTTTGTGCAGATGGCTAGGTTTGCCGGCGTTATGCCTGAGACGTCCCCGTATAGTGCGCTAGGGATTTCCGAACAATGAGAAGGTTTAACAAATGCAAACAGGACTTCTATTCAGCATCCATTCCACTACCGAGAATGCGGTAAAAACGCATCGGGAACTTTATCTATAAAATGAAAACTTTAACATTATTAGTCTTATTACAAAGAACGAAATACCATAGACAGCTACAGCGCACGGTAATAAGCTCGGGCCGAAGCAGTGAATCGAAAAAATGCTACTTTTGCAGACCCTATTTCCATAGTAGTCTTACTCTGCGATTCCAACACGCACGGTAATAAGTTCGGGCCAAAGCAGTGAATCGAAAAAATGATACTTTTGGAGATCTTATTTCCATAGTAGTCTTACTCTGCGATTCAGCGGACTACTGTTGAAAGGAAGGAGGCCTTCGCTGCGGAGTTATTTATTGGAAAACACCAACTCAACAGTTACAGACTATTGGACAGGGAAGCAAAACTCTCATATGCATCTTGTTCATAAAAACTGAGTATCCGCCTTCTTCTCGCCCGCGTCTTTCCTGGATACTCATTGACTATCACTCAAATGTAAACGAATGCTACAAAGCAATTTCACAAATTCCGTAGTAAATCTCACTTTTCAATAGACGTGAAGCGGATTTACGAAAAACAACATACCACTTGCACGCATCCTCAGTGGTATCCACCATTACACTGATACTTTTCCCGGGTAGGTACATTTCAGGGTGAAATTCCCATGGGGAACTATCTAATATTCGGGTTTTGATGGGCAGTATTATGCTGGGCAACATGAGGGACCATCAGACAGATGGGAACTTATTCTATGAGGGTCGTAACGGTGATTTTGACTAAACAAAGGCAGTCAGTGCAAAGGGATGTTTGCTATGGCTTTGATATAGAGTTTATCCACACTTCCATGCTGGCTTCGCAGGAATAGGTGTATACAACGCACATGGTTTATTTCATAGTTTTTGACTTTACACAATGCTCAGTCAGCGAATTCACTTTTTCACGGAAAGTTATCGCATTCATAACTGTTAACAGCGTAGCATCATTTCCCAGGCGTTCTGTCCAGTTTGGACGTTGTTGCCTCACGGACACCTTCACATTCATTGTTTTTCTCCCTTAAGCTGTGTGAACTGGAGGGATTTTATCCTAACTAACTTGTCACCCTTCCACATCTACGTCCATTTAAACGGACATCCGTTTTCCGGCATTAAATTATCATAGTGAGCTGAGGGAAATCCCTGCAGTTAGATTTTGGAGCTAAGGTACAACCGTCAATTTGTCGAACTATAGGTATCTCGCGTGTGTTTACTGGTGGTTGATCAAATGGCAGTTGATCTGCTCGCCGAGCTTAGCAATTGGCTTGCAAACGCCGACAAGACATCGTCAGTGCGCAGTTGAGTGGGTTCTTTCTCAGCGCCTAGCTGCGTTTATCTAGTTTTTGAAGAGTATCTAATGTCGCGTGATGTGATTGGCTACTTGGGATATACCAACCGTTGGTACAACTACATGATTCATCGGTAAGCGTTTGGTTTGAAGGTTAGCAGTCTGGATCGCTTGCGCACTTTGTTCCATGACTGACTCCTGCGATAGGTTGATTTAGCCGTTGCGATAAGGTGTGCTGAAGCTGATGGATCGTTTGGTGAAGCAAATCAGATTTTGCTCTTGATGGATGAATTTAAGGAAGTGGCAGTGTAACCGGAGTACCCATGGTCAAAGACTTGCGGGACCCGTGAGGCAATGAAAAATGGCGATGATGTGACGACGGTATACCTCTTTTGCCAACTGTCTTGCTCTGTTGTTGCTTTGTTTGAATAATGGTTTTTCCTACCAATGATAACACAATACAACAAGTTTCAATTACATTTATTTAGCGTTGTTTGGTCGAGTTCAACGATGATACTGCTCGGGTAATCAACGCAGCCCTTGAAGGATCCATACCTGAGCATGTACTTTCCCAAAAACCGACGACTCCCAAGTAAGCTACTTATTGGTTAGATCGAATTTAACCAGAATAGAACGTTCAATATTCTGAGTGCATTTTGACTTTCCCGCTTGATCCACCTCAGTTTGCATTCGTTCATGGCTGCTACGCTGCCGCTCAGTAGATTCGGACGATTTTGGCGATTTGTCAGTTCCTGGTCTGATAGACTGAATCAGTCATTTACAAATTGAATTTATTAGTTCAAAAGAGTTTTTAATGATCTTGTGAGTAGTGTACTGTCATAACAAAATGCCTTTCACATTCAGACAATACTGACAAGATGTATCAGTTTGTTTCGTGTTTGCTCCGACTTTCGGGGCGAGATGCCCCGAAGTTGTTAGACCGCGGATTTATTGACCGGAAGGTCCGTGGTTTGGAACCCGACTTCTGCCTCTCGACTTCCCCTGTCTAGGCTTGGGCAATATGGGAGTATCCCAGCCCTCGTGCAAACTTCGGGTGTCATGGAAGTTGGGCTCCGAAGAGGTGCTACAGCTGAACGCTCTGACCTTCCGACTGGTACCTAGTGACAGCAGCGTCCGTAATGAATTCGGAGGAACTATTTTTATTTCATCTAAACCTGTTTGGATTCTTGGTACATAGTGACAGCAGCGTCCGTAACGAATTCGGAGGAGCTATTTTTATTTCATCTAAACCTGTTTGGATATATTTTGCTGTGTGTCTAATGTAGCCCTACTTTTTGGTAACGACTCAGTCGGAGTTCGCTTGCCGAAATGAAGGGATGCTTTTTAGGGTTTCATCAACCGATTGCTGCGGAAAAAAGGTTAGTGATCCATTGATGTTTTGTTGTTTGTGTGCCTGGGCTATTCGAAGGCCGTCCTCAACAAATACTGCCACAGTTTTGTTCTAGCTAACTTTCTTATTGTATTCCACGGTTGTTTTATGTAACAGGAAAACACCCGTCATTAAGGACTAAAGTAAGGGTGCTTTTTAATAGTATTTCGTCCGTTTTTATGTATTTTAAGCAACAGATTGATGCGCACATCAACGTACTTTGCTGTGATAATTGGTGGTGTGAAAGGACTTTTAGAATTTCTGATAAAGATTTCGTCATGTTGGTGAAACTTGTCTCTGTTGAGAAGCGCTGTACAGCTTTTTCATGCTTATTAGGAAGCATAAGCAGTGCGCATCTCATGGGTCAGTGGTTAGAGCGCGAGTTTACTTACTGGAAGGCTCGTGGTTCTAATGTTACCTCTACCTCTCGACTTCCCCTGTCTAGGCTTGGGTGACCTTGCAGTGTCCCAGCTCTCGTGCTTCCTTCGGATGGCATGGCCCCTAGGCAATGGAAGGATGTTGCAGTTGAACGACTTTCTTAAATTTCATGAAACCCCAATAGGGAGTTTCAGACATGCGACCTCCAGGCCACACAAGTTTGTTCGACGACGAGCTGCTAATCAACAGCGTGATTGACTCGCACGTACTATAGCAATCAGAGGTTTGCTTCACAAGATTGCACCATTCATTTATCATCGAACGTGTACCTCAAGTGAAACTTTTAGAGACTGAATTTGGCTTGGCTTAGTTTTTGACTGAAAGAGACCTCTGGAGAGGTTTATACTTACAGGTGCGTTGCAAAAGCTGGGCATTGTGTTTAGGTCCATACTGTTGCGACGTGTATCCTACATGCGCATTCTTCAGACTTATATCTTCAATCCACAATGGCAGGTGTGATTGGACTTATACATCATAAGGTTTTATACTGACATCCAAACTCAATTTATCAGTCTCTCTACCTGATAGGAAAACTAAAACTGTGCGGCCCTCTGGCTCGAACCAACTGGATTTGGACTTGGCAACCGCTGCTGCCTGTGGAGCTGTCGAGCTCAGAGCAAACCAGTTGTGGCAAGGGAAGCGCGAACTAGACGGTGCTGGAACTGGTTTGACCAAACGCGAGAAGAAATTCACGATACGGGCCGCTGTATCTGTTTGGGATGATGATGACGATGATGAGGGACAAACGCAGGATATTGGGGCTGATGGGGAAACTGTTCGTGAGCTGACACAGGAAGTGAACAAGCTATTTGTCGATGAATACGAAGGTATTGTCAGTCTATGTCGTAGCAGTTTACTTACAGTTCACTGGCAGCAGTCGTCCCAGTAGCATCTGGAGCAGGTGGTTTCGCCGTGACCGTTGATCTTACATTTCCGTTAAAAGCTTTTGCAAACGACATATATGAGTCATGTATTACGGTTACTACTTCCAATAATAACCAAGACTTCAAGGACTCATGTCGGACAGTTTCCATCGCATTCTCATGTGGACGTTTGCTTGTCTTGTGGACAGCTTTAATTGGACCCTCGGCTACAAGCTGCCATCTCGCTAACCACTCTCTTGGAGACGTTATGCTTTTTTCCTTTGTTGTGAAACTCTTCATCGTTTTGTCGCCCACTTATTTTACAAAATTACTGGTTCCATTCGAGGTCTTGTAATTAAGCGACTTTTTTCCCGGATAACATTAAAAAAGACAGCTAAGGTCAACTTTTGTGGAACAGCTGTTTATCTATAGCTGTGTATACTCCATAAGGTGGATGCCCCGCTTCCCGTTTCCTTCGGAAGCCTTTCTTCTGACAGCTGGAACCCATAGTTATCGCACTTGGTTCTCCAAAGCACATTTAGACATATTCGTCACATGTGATGGTGAGGATCTAAATGATGGCCGGCTGTGACACATTCATTTGCCTACACAACATTTCCTTCAACTGCAACTTTTTGTCTTCATTTTCTCATATGGTCGTTCCCGCAATACTGTGCCTCATACTGTGCATCTATTCATTACGTTTTCGCACAGTATGATTTGTGTATCTGAATTATCATGATCATAGCTTCGCCAGCGGTTTTCATGGAATTGTCTTAGTGAGAATCAGGTCAAGTTGCTTTGTTGTACTATCTTTCCGGTGCATAGTTGTCATGCGAAGTGAAGGAAGTAGAGGAGCTTAGGTGATACAGATGGCCAAAATCACCGATTTGTTTCGCTGCTCGTACCTCAGCCTGCTAGCCACTCCAAGGTCATAGGGCCGCGAGAGGCTTTGTTGTATTATTTTGATCTACTTGCTTCAAAAAGACAAATTCTCGTTCGCTCTTGTGCTACTGTTTCAGATGAATATGATGATACATATGATGTTCACGAGGGGGCGATTGATGACGTGGAATCTGAGGCAGAGTCCACCCGCGATCAACGTACAGAAGATGGTGTACACGCTAGCAAGCATTCAGATGGTGTGAGTGCAAAGTTTATCAATTCGTATTACTCCCACTCTCATTAGGAATTCATCTGAAAACAACACGATTCCCACGAATTTCATCATCATCCAGCTGTTTTTCAAAATCACTGAGTACCAATCATAGCATAGAGCAGTACAAAAGTATCCAGTTTGGCCCAATCACATTAGCTGGGGCGAGATGGCGAAATTACTGACCGGAAGGTCCGTCGTTCGAACCCGACCTTTGCCTCTCGACTTCCCCTGTTTAGGCTTGGGCAACCTGACAGTATCCCAGCCCTCGTGCTCCCTTTGGGTAGCATGGCAGCTAAGCACCGGAATGGGGTTACAGCTGAACGAATCACGTTAGATAGCCTGAAAAAATACTTGCCGTGGGTTCATTTCTCCTGGCTGTCGCATGCAATTTCTGCCTCTAATTCTTTCATATTTATTAAATTTCGCGCAGTTCAAATCAAGAGGTGTGTAGCTTAAATTGGCAGACGGAGACGAGCTGAAGGGAGTCTGTGGCCGCTCCTCTTCCCAGGACACAGTCGACTAGACTCTTATTATACTTGACTGGAGCAGCATTCGAACTGTTGTTAATGGTATTTTTGCTACCAATTACTCCGCCGACTGACTCAGTCATTAGTTCTCCCCAACAAGGACAAACCTTGGAACTTGCTGATATAGATCCTTTCTAAGGAGAACTCCTTCTTCCCAGTGGCATAAGACAACCGAATTACAGTTGAGTTAGTTATTTGCTTCCACGCGAAGGCCGTCGTCCGTTGTTTTACTTGATATGATTATCTTTTCAGAAAACCTCATCTGGAGTATGATTCTCGCACGGTAGACAGTACGTGTGAATGGTACTAGGGGCCTAAATACCGGTTTATTTGGTGAACGGATACTGTGAACCCTTTCCGGGTTCTCATAATCAGTCTGCTGTTATTTGTCACTTACTGCTTCATCTTCCCTTTGTTGATTGATGTCACGGAAGGACGCTATCTAAGGCAAAGTCAAATACAAGGACCCTGATAAGCCAATTTTATTGTGGTGATCACTTTCAATCAATTACAATCAGACAGTGGGGCGGTTAAAATTCACCCCAAGCGTCACATGTCTGTTAGAATGTACGACCGTTGTTCCGAGCTGAGTGAGATTTGCCAAAATTGCCGCAACTTTACACGTGTGGATGAAATCGAAATGCCTACTTGTTAATCGGCCTGAAAGTGAAATTATTAGTAGGGAAACTTCAACTGTCATGTCGGCCAACAAAATGTTTTGCTGATGAGCTCCAATAAAAGCGGAACTTGAGTCCAATCTTCCCCCTTTTGTGTGGACTCACCGGAATAAGTACACCTGTACAAGAGGTGGACTGTTCAAGCAAAAGTGATGGGAACTCGAGTTGTACAATCCCACAAGCACCAACAACTGGAGAGTCTTCCGAAAGACAACTTTCTCAATAAAAGTTGTTAAAAGATGAATGCATATCATCCCAGTCATAGGAGTTTACATCGAGAGCGGAAGGGGTCCTTGATGGAGAAATCGAGTGGGGAAAATGTGAAAAGCTCAGTGAAAGTTGATAGAAGAGGTCACAGCGTATTTTGATGGATGATCGGAGGTCAAAGGAGACCAGGGGTTTGTGCAGTATCGCCGTTGCAGTCAGGAGCTCGGACTGGAAGGGAGGCAGGCTAGGGAACGGGGCTGGCGGTCCACAGAATCTGTGCGAGAAGGAAACTGGAACCGTTCGTTATCGCAGATCTTGGATGAAAACTTCCAAATTGACTTTGGAGTTACCTACGTATTCCTAATTAGCGTTCAACAAAGAAAAAAGAGAATGTTTTATCACCATTCGGAGATAGATAAACGCAAGAATATTTGTCACGTCGGGGGAGGTTACATTTAAGCATCATCATCATCATCATCATTGTCAGCTGTAAGAACCGCGTACTCGTCGTACAGTGGTTGTAGCTGCCGCAGTTTTGTTCACCGATGATTTGTGGGGGGGGGGTGGTAGGTAGCTGCGCATTGCACGCGCGAGCTGGTAAGCGGAAATAGTTGGACGTCCAGGGTAGGATGCACGCGCGGCTGGTAAGCGGAAATAGTTGGACGTCCAGGGTAGGAAGTTGAGAAACGGATACGGCAGGGTGTGTAGGTGCAGACTCCACCTTTACAACGGAAGCAATAGAAAGGCTGGGTGAGTAAGGTTACCAGATCCGAATGTCTTGGTCTCAGGGAGGGTGAGGTCACGGATTTGAGCTGGTGGATCGAGTTTAGTTCAATCCGAAGATGTTCTACAGTGACTCATTGAAATCGTGTGAAGACAGAGCGAGATATCCTTATGGTTTGTAGTTTTACGTCTGTTTGGTTATTGAAATCCGTACAAAGTCAGTTCATCTCAGGTTTTAGGAATAACCCTTCCTACTCACGATGGGTGAGGTGTGTTCCCTCGAATTTGTCGTTACATCCAAATATTCCACACCTATAGTTGTACACAGCATTTCCCTTGTGGAAAGGACACAACGGGCTAAAGGTAGTGGTGGCCTTTGGTCGTTGGCTTGTTCGCTGAGCTGGGCAATTTGGTTGCAAACGTTTCATCACCAATCGAGGTGACATCATCAGTGCGTAGTTGTGCGTAGCGGTGGGTTAGTGATTGTGTGTGGCAGCTCAGCGAACAAGCCAACGCTGTACACAGCGTTCCCCTCGGAGAAAGGACACCACGGGCAAAAGGTGGCCTTTCATTGAAGATTTCACAAGAAATTTTTCGAACCCTTAATGGCTTCTGTGAGAAACTGGTCTCACGTACTATTACTCTCCATATATCCGAGTAGCCCTGGGAACCCTCCTGGACTTGTGGCACATAAAGTTAGTGTCAGAATTGAAAAGCTGAACTAAACCGAGTCTTGAAGCACTCACACAAGCAAATTACATTGGTGTTAACGGGAGAGACTCCCAGCTAAGTCTCTCGTTCACGGTCTCATGAGTTGTTTCCCGTCAAGAAAATATACTGCCATGTGTTGAATATCGTACCAACTGAAACACGAGGCGTCCTCCTTGCAGCAGATTCGGTTAAAGGTCGTGCCCAGATAGTGGGTCCGAAAAAAAAGCGAAGTCGGTCGTGAGCTCAGATAACAGTTCTGAATCCCTTTTAGGTTCTGTGAGATGACCACTATTCGTGATTTTCAGTAGAAACCAACTCTTTCTACAGTCTTTTTAGAGGTAAATGTTTTGTATTGAGGATGCATAACTGATCTGTTTAACGGCACTTGTGGCGAATTTACTGACCGGAAGGTCCGTGGTTCGAACCCTACCTTTACCTCTCAACCTTCCCCTGTTTAGGCTTGGGCAACTTGGCAGTATCCCAGCCCTCGTGCAACCTTCGGGTGGGATAGCAGTTAGGCACCGAAAGGATGCTATAACTGAACGATTTTTAACGGTAGTTACTCTTCCACATGTCCTTTTGTTAGCCTCATTATCTCACACTGGTGCACCAGAGTTAGTGTGATTTATCGATTATTTCAATCCATTAAAGCGTGTTGAGAATGCGTCCCGGCAACCGGTGCTTCGAATTGAAAATCCCGAAGTGGTCCGAGAACGGCAGCAGCAATATCAGCAGTCGCGGCAGGTGAGTCATTTTCTAAGCATTTTTGAACTATTCTCATCCGAATTTCGGTAGTAGTTCTGTTCTGTTGTGTGTATGGACGGCTAAACGACTACCGAAGTAACATGATGTTCGTGTCTAGCATTACCGCCTCCTTGGTCAGATCTGAGTGACTAGTTTGTGGTTGGTGGCGGTATTTTGAGGTTTCAAACGGAAGTCTCATCGTAAGAAAGGGGGGGCATTAGGTGCACAACGCTCTTAGCTGCAACACCTTTACGTGTGGAGTAAAACTTTTTGCGCCAAAATGTTGCATTTTGTTGCGTATGTACTGAAACCAAAAAGCATCCTAATCTACTTTCATATTTTTGCAGCTCATAGAATTTCATCATCCACTGAAGCAATAATACCTCTGACGGAAATGTCTTGTGGAATAATTTTCCAGCATCGCCGAGACCCCTGGATGCCTAAATGGGGCTCAAAGTTTGGACTGGTACTCCGAACTCGATTGCCCGATTGCTTTGGTCTATCAGGGACACGTCATAGCTTTCGAAAATTTAATTCCATTGTGAGAATAGTGAGCTCCGGAAAGAGGTTGATCTATGTTAAAATCCGAGAATCACTGTACACTTGTTTACTCCTTGTTTGGGATCTCACGAAATTCCCGAGAAATTCAATCCCGCAACTTTCTCGTTAGGTGCTGAGTGCCAAACTACTGGACCGCCAGTGGCTAATCAGCATTTTGAATTGCACTGAATAGGTTATGACGGCACCATCCTCCGACCATACGGTTCTTATCACGTGAACTGATGTAGACTCGTTCCTACAGTGACAATTTCTGAGACGGGCAGATCAGCCGTAGTTTGTATTTAGTGGGAATTTTTCCAAGTTTGAAGCGCGATTCCGTCCGGTCAACATCGGATCACGTAACGTGAACTGTTTGTTGAACCTTGGCACTGTACGTATGTGCTCTGTCTAGGTTCAGCTTGATGGCAGTGCTGATTGGCCATCAATGGTCCAGCCATTAAACGGATTATGGTGGTTACATGTCTAGAGAGGAATTCGGGAAGTGTACCAACCGAGGAATGTCACTCGAGGAGCCAATAAGTACCAGGTCATGCGAGGTGAATTTTGTGATCCGATTATAGCGGAGCTGTATCTGATGTTGGTAGTGCTCTCAAGTCCACACTTGGAAAGTCATGGGTTCGAATCTTACTGAAAGTCAATTAGGTGCGCACTGCTGCTGATTCTCATCGAAGGGGAAGCATCTATACAGTGTTTCCGGCTTCTTAGAATAGGTGGACCTTGTACGCAGGATGAGCTCCCCGTTTTTCAGCAGTTTAGTTAGCTTTTGTCTTTCCGGTCAATCTGCAAACGGGGTGAGATTTTTACCACTACTTCTGCCCAGTATTATCGCGTCTGGATTAACAAACGCTTCCGTAATATGCGCGGCATGATTGACTTATCCGACTCCTCGAACGACGGCCTAGTACTTATCCCGCTTGTGTGGGTCGGTTGACCCACTCTGATGGCTTTTCAGTTAGCTAACGCCGTTGGTATAGCATGCCTTGCCTTGGTCCATGTGAGGACCAATCACGTTACTTGAGGCATTGTGTACGGCTGAAGATCGTAAACAAATGGCTTTCTCTCATTGGGGACCGATCGTCCTTTGATGTCAGGTGGAAAGAGATTTGACAGATATTTAGATCAGAAGTCCAACCGCCTAGTGCTATGCCCGCTATGCATGCTGGGCAGGTGCCACACCAACTGACGTACCGAGAATGGTTCTAAATGTCACTGTCTCAGCGTATATCTTTAGTACTCAGCAAACAAGCATGTGGGAGCTACGAAATTCATTCTTTGCTAAGAGCTGAGAGATACTGAGAGCCTTGTAAGCGGGTGCATTCCCTTAAGTTTCCTCATGTGTGAAGCGTCACTTAATGGTGAGCCTAATTGTATAAGAGTGTAGCCAGCCACGGTGAGGTTGCTCTTAGGACGTTTTGGAAATCCTGGAAACCTTAGCAGTATTTTCCATTCCTGTGCCCTCTTCTTGCTCGATGTTTCCGAGGAGCAGTACTACTGGACGTCTCATTCCCCACCAGTACAAATGGAGAGCTGTTCATGTACAAAGTGATCCCAACAAAAGGCTGAAAGTTTTAGTGATACGTACGCTACAAATTTGTAGGTCCATCGATTCGCTACCAATGTGTCACGCAGAACAATTGCCGGTCGGCGGATGGTGGACCTCTGAGGCAGCTGACCAGATGGCTCAGTGGCTAGAGCGGGAATTTACTGACCGGAAGGTCCGTGGTTCGAACCCGACCTCTGCCTCTCGACTCCCGATGTCTAGGCTTGGGCAACCTGGCAGTATCCCAGGCCTTGTGCTTCCTTCCGGTGGCATGGCAGCTAGGCACCGAAAGGATGCTACAGCTGAACGATTATTATTGAGAGATATTGTTAATTTACTTCTGAGTTCTCAAGATTTTGCAGCTTTTCATACTCGTTTTTTACCATTTCCCATAGATTTTTATCTTACCCCTATCCTCACATTCAAGTAAGAACACACCAGAGATCCGGGGGCATGGTCTGGTGACGAGGCTATACTATCGTTGGTGACGGGAAGAAACAAACCACCCGCTGACTGACGAGTGTAGCTCACACAGAATGAACCAGTTCCGATTACGGTTGCTCGTTAGGATGGACCGCACAAGCTGCCGTCTAAGACTTTGATCAGTACTTTTAAATATTCGAACGATTAATATGGCCACTGATTACCACGGGTCGATAGAATATGGGTATGGGTATGGCCAAACACTTCAACAAGACAACAAACGGTCACATTTTCCACCCCCTCAGTAGCTGGTTTCTGTTCTGTCATGCACTACCGGGCTGGGAGGCTTATATCTTTGATCTCAAATCAAGCAACAACACGTTGGACGTTACCAACGCAGGTGTTTTTGACTCCGAAACGCGGTCGCTCTCGAACGGTTATGTAGAAGGTACTCTATAGCGGTCCTATGATTTTTCCAGCAATCTATCTATTTTAATCTTTCTGGGTCAGTTCATTCAGGGTCTTATTATTTCCCCTCGGTCTGGTCCCTGACAGCACCTATCACTCGTCGCACCTCTAATTGTTTCGTTCAACGAATCTGGTGAAATAGTCGTTAAAAAATCGGTGGTCCTCTAAATTTGTCGTGCATATTTTAGCAGACACGAGCGTAATAACACTTGAGGTTAGAAGCATCGTCAGCTGATGCCTTGTGTCATTCATCTTCCAAGGTTTTTCTTGGTTTATAGGGTCACTCCCGTTCGATCATTCACTTTTTCGTTTGACCCCTTTTCACCCGACACTTCGAATAGAAGTTAGTCAGCAGCTGCTCCTTTCTATACTTCTTTCAGGCCTTTCGTCGTGGTCGTGTAAGACTATTCCAGCAGCCGTGCAGTGTCGCACCACAGCCAATGCCAGCTGAAGAACATTTTGCATTCGCACCTCCAAGAAGTGAAGTAAGCAATCGACAAGCGAAGGACCGTGGCGTCTCCGCGACCAAACACAGTGCTAAACATGGCTCTTCGGGCACAGCTCATAATGAAGAATCCGCGAATAGCAGCGCGATGGAACACACGAAACAGGAAGCCTCGAGCGATAGACATTTTCGGACTGCTCATAAGGCTCGTTTCGCCGCCCACAATAGGCGGAAGCTTGCGGATAGAAAGCGCCAACTATGAGCGATAGCTCAGCATACATCCTTACACACTCACCGGCTTGTCTTTCGGTTACTTCAAAATTCCATTTTGGAACGCTTTCCAAACTCATCTTTCTGATGCATTTGTACGGAACGCAAATCAAACCAACTATTTTGCTACTTAACACGAAACATCCGGTGTATATGGGTGGTGGGAATGCAGTTGGGCCATGAGGTTGGACTTGGAAGAGGTAGTATTCCGGCCAACCTGGTCTTCCATGTTAACTGCTTTTAGGGTTCTCAAGTAGACTGTTCTCGTACATTGTTTTTGCGTGTGTACCGTGGAGGTGATACGAGTCACATGGGGTCTGTTTGAGTTGGTTATTTACCGTTGTTTCCCCGATGCCCGGTTTCGCTTTCCACAGTCTCCGTTTAACGTGTGTGTCCGATCTTGGAGCAACTTCGCTTCACAAAGGCAGCTTGATATGCCCTGAGTCTTTAGGGGATCACTGGATACGTTATTTTGGTCAAATTTACGCCTGGGTTGAAGTGTGATGACAGTACTTGCAAATACCTTTTACGGCTCTGGTGGTTGACCAGTGGTCAACTTGCTATTTCAGAGGCGGGGAACGTTGACTCAGCTGACAGTGATGATTAGGTTTTTTTCGCCTCCAAGGCTTGGTTGTATGTTCCACTTTCCCGTTTTCCGGTGATCGAAACTGCAGCAGCTGGAACCAATGTGCCTATGGCACACGGTTTATAGCTGATAAATTGAATTGATTGATATGTTAGATAACGCGTTAGGAAGTGTTCTATGTACTTTTGCTGCGATATTATAAGGCCACCCAATTTCGCGACATCCATGTCCGATTGTGCAGAAAATGAGTAGTTTGAGCCCGGTTCGATTTCTTGAATACATGTCAATAAATGAGAACATAGATAAGAAAAATGGACGTGAGATAAGTGTGATGCCTCCGAAGTTTGGCTTTTTACCCCCTGCATCTCATGCGTTGTGGCGTTTGTTTCTGACGTTTTAGCATTCGAACGAAGTATAGTTTGGGGTTGTTGCTTAAATCAGCGTAGATTCGGCGTAAATGCAGTATTCAGAATACGGGTTACCCAAATGTGGCATGATGATACGTATGTTAGTAGGGGAAGGCACTTCAGTACGCCGATGACAAAGCGGTCGTTATGTTTTCCTAATCAGTTTTGGAGTCAAACCCAGGTCACTCGATCTGTCACGGATATTGTGCTGTAGGGAACGTGAATGCTCTTGGAAACGCCTTGGATGAGTAAGGACGACAACTACTTCGTGTTTAATAAGTAGTAAGTAAGCAGTACCCTCGATTGGGTACTACTGCAAGGTATCTCTGAGGCACGCCTTCGGTTCTATCGTTTTTAAAGTACCATGCGCTTCAATTCATGCAGCGTGTTAAAGGTGACTGTCCACATAAATCTGTATCGCAGATTTACCTCAGGCGTTCTCAGTTGCACTTAGAATCGTGTCACCCTCTGGTCTTGGTCTTCGCAATCTGGTGAGCTGCATTCTGTTGACATATATGGGTCTTGTTTCCTTCTGGAGGCCACCATGTGGCCAATACTGCAGACTCGACGCTTGAGCTCGTGTTCTTTTTGTGGGTTCGTTCAGTTCAACTTCAAATCTTCTCATCAGCTGTGATTGCACAGTCCTGTCCAAAGTTTCTTGAACCATTCCTTGTCCCATCTTTTTGTACTCCGAACGTGGGTCATGTTGTATTGCATTTATGGTATATGTGGGAAGTATATACAAGAACTCAACCAGAAGTAAAAATATATTGAAAAGTTAAAAACATGTGTTGTTGTGTTTGTTCTTTCACACTCGTATGATTCGACCCATCGAATACCTGCGTTCACTTCAACAGCTGACTGCTTATAGGAGATCAGTGCGCCGCATGACTAGCCTGGATGGAAAGGGACCTCCTCTAACACGTGGTCATGGAGGGAATTTACCAGCAAATGAGTGGTCCAATAAAATCTGATCCTTTCTGAAGAGCAACCTTGGTAGAGGCTTCTGTGCATGGATGGCTTTCCTTTGTCTCTGATTGCATTAAGGAACTGATGGGAGCTAGGAAGTTGCATGAATACAGAATGCCCTAGGGAAGAGAATGACAATAATCGGACCAGCAGCGGTCTGGGACGGCCGTTGGGAAATTCGCGCACTTACTTATGAGTAGGCAAAACTAAATGCGTTTTATGGTTTCCGTTCGCTGTCCCGGCACAGTCAGTCCTCTCTGTTAGGGCCTATGACTGGAACCAGACGAATATTATGGTTTGTGACTGCAACTGGATGGATACAACTGCTTTCTAGTGTTCACTCGTTACTAGTATAGGAGGCAAAGGCAATTAGGACACCACGTCTGTTTGATAGCGTGATGAGAGTGTAGCACAACCGTGCATAAACCCAGTGGTTCGAAACGTTGCAGGCTGGCCAGATGGCCAAAGGGTCTAGGCGTGCGGGGGCATGGCGATTGGTTGTATTAATGCAGAACGATTATTGTCTAGGTCTGCGAACAGCGCTGAGACAATAAGAAGGAACGATCAATATGCGTTCGCCTCAGTGGCGAGCAGTGTCATTGGCAGTTTCTACAGGAGTCCGTCAGCCATGCAGTCGTTGGTGCCTGGGTTTGAATCCAGGAAATATGAAATTTGAGGCCACTTGTTTATTATAGCTGGTGGTATAAGTGACTCTATGGTGCTCGTTATATGGACTGAGCTAAGCAGTGTCTAGCCACTTCGCGTTTGTGGATTACAGCTATACCATACTTTCGTGAGTCTTGCGAACGATTCTCATGAAAATGATACAGCAGTTGCATAAGGACCTTCGAAGAGAGTACGGTCAACAACTGGATAAAAGCCCAAGGTCTTATGCCAGAAGGAGATGACACAGAAACTAGTCCTAGGGAAGAGCCTGTAAGGTTTTGGCTCGTTAGATGGAAAGCCTACATTTAGCTGAATAGAGGCGAATTAAAGATCTCCACTGATTTTTATCCACTTTTTAAGAGTGGTTACACTACTTAAAGGGTTCCTGAAAACCTTTTGACGGCCCATCACCGGTTTCACTCTTCTCGGGGCTTATCAGTTAGGTGCCATCCCCGAGTTTCCGTCAACCTTATGTTCTAATTGAACTCAAATTGGACTGTTTTCGAGAAATACACTCATTTGCAAGTCAATTTGGTTGTCACGAGAGACTCAACTGAATCTCTCGTTTATGATGTCCTCCAACTGAATGTGCTGCACACAGGCCGCTTCAGGATTCAGTTGGCACGATATTCGGGATATCGCAGTATTTTTTCATAAAGGAAACCACTGAACCTGAACCATTCAGCTAACCGATACTTCGTTAGCTGGTTAACCCCTCTTGAACAAGCACATTACAAGCAGCTGGTAGGGAATGAATTTTCACCGGCCAAATCAGATCACGCATCCATCCGACCAGTGATTTGTTTGGATGCGCTCATTACGAAAGTCAGATGAGAGACCTACATCCCCCAACTCAAACGAAAGTCACGCGTGCCTTACGCACCTACCCGAGAAGTTTTTCCACCATTCAAGGCTTTACTCAAAGGTATACATTAAATGAGTCGGTCTGCACGGTCCTGAGTGAATGAGGAGTGTGGGACTAAACCTCCTTCTACCAAAAACTAAACAAGTTCCTCACTAATGTACTACCCATAAGGTTGCTGAAAATCCGTCGAGTAGTACATTACAAAGATATACATACATGTATATCTTTGTATCGCGAATATCGTAGCGACTGAAACATGAGGCGGCCTGGTGCAGCACATTCAGTTGCCTGCGAACGTCACAAACGAGATATTCAGCTGGGTTCCAGGTGAGTCTCTCGAAAAACCAAATTAATCTGCAAATGAGTGTATATTCGCTAAGTTTCTCACTATCTGATTTTCCTCGCCAAGCAGTTTTACTTACGCCTTATGGTTACGTGAGTGAGTTGTTTCAAAAGCACCGTTGCATGGTAGTCCAATCAATTCCGATCCCGAGGTCACTATAAGCGGATCCGAAAAGCAGCACATTTCACTCTCACTCTACTGAATTCCTGCAGTTTCGCTTAGATGCCTGTACGTGGTAAACTCCCAGCTGGTGGCAACAGAATGTTGTAGCCGGCTTGGTTCCCAAGCAAAAGGCATTTCAAGTCGAGAAACTTTTACTTGCTCTTACTTACTTACTCTAGGGTAATCACTCATTTGCAAACTAATCTGGTTTTTCGACAGACTCACCTGGAACTCAGCTGAATCTCTCGTTTGTGATGTTTCCAGTCCGGGAATTTTTAGTTACCTTATAAGTAGTGTGTTACAAATGGACTCTAGTTTATTATATAGTGAGATGTTAATTATTGAGGGAGACACTGCATTTCGTTGAAATCCTTCTGACAAATCACGAAAATTGCAATTTGGGGATATTTACCTCGGAGCAAACCAAAGCGCGTCTGTTTCATAATGCAGTCTATTATTTGGACACGTGGCTAAATGGTTTTGCATTCAACGAACCACGGTTTCGAAATTTCCCATGGCTTCGTGCGAAGTGCGCGGCTGGTGATCCCCAACAGCAATGATGCAGCTGTACACTGGTTCTCGGTCCTACAGCAATACACAATCTCGGTTCCCTCAAGTCTGCTCGGGGTACCGTACTAACGGACCGAATTTCACCATTCTTCCACCAATATAGCATTTCGAGGCACACTGCGTTTCAAAGCCCTGTCCACGAGCTCACCGAAGGCGCGAAGCAGTCGCTAAACTCATTTGCCCAGATTACTGTGTTTGTAAATGTCTCACGGGACGATGGCGTCAGGTTTTGGGGAGACCCAGACAGCTGAACCTTCTGATGGACTTGAAATGGTCTTCGGTTTGGATGGAAAGTTTGCGAAGTGCATGCCACTAAGAGGCGTAAAATTTCATTTCTTAAGTACTTCATTATTGTGTAAAAAAGGAGTTATGGCGTTAGCGAAATACACTCATTTGCAAACTGATTTGGTTTTCCAAAAAAGACTCACCTGGGACCCAGCTGAATCTCTCTTTTGCGATGTTTCCAGGCAGCTGAATGTGCTGCCCCAGACCACCTCATGTTTCAGTCGCTACGATATTCGCGATATCGCGATACATGTAGATAGTTGCAATGTAAGGTTGCTGACGACGAATTTTCATTACAGAGTGATGGCGTTATTTATACTATCTACTGTTGCTTTACGATAAATCCACAGGTTCACTCCACCGATTTCTCTTGCGACCAAGTAAAAAATGTCTTTAGAAGACCTCTTGCTCTCGAGTACTTTCAGAAGTTTTATTGATATAATAAACACACAGGCGATAGCTCAGGACTTGTCTGACAGAAGCCATTTAAGGAGCGAACTGACAAGACTTCCTCGTTACAAACATGAAGTTAGCAAGTAGATGTTAACCATATTCCGCAGTATTTATTCGGATTTACAACGTAGCAACCTTTTCGTTTGGATCTCCACAACCTTCCGCACCGCAGCCCTCTGTAAGAAGTGGGGAACATGAAAGCATAGTATTAGACAACCTTGGTGCAATCTAACTATCAACGGATTCACTACAGACAATTTAAAGTTGATTCCGACCCCTTGTCTTAGCCAACTTGTACCTTGCATCGAGGTTCGGACGGCATGCGGTTTTTCTCATCTCCCTTTATTCTTTTTGGCTTCTTTGAGAATGAAGTTAGACAATTTCAGCTTAGTTGGGGTTATGCCAGTGACACTTTATTGCGTGCAGTTTGGGTCGATTTACTCATTCCGATTTCTAGAACTATTCCCTGCCTCAAATTTGGCGCAACCAGTCTTACGAAACGGTATTTTTTTACGTCCTCCTGGCTTCGAAAGCCTTCTCATCCCTATTCTTTCTGGTTCTCGTTATCAGTGGTTGAAAATGCCCTACCGTAAGGAAGAATTTGTTCTCTAATTCTTTTTCTCCAGATACTTTTGTTTTTTTTCCCGTAGCCTCCATTTGTCAGTCCTCAAAAAGGGCAGGTACTTTCGATTTATTCATTGGAATTAGGAATGTTTCTGTTTGGTATCAAGCAATCTTTGAATTTAAATCAATCATGTTTGCTTGAATCACCCAATTTTCGAAACTCTGATTGCAGTGGCGGCTTCAGCTGATGAGAATATTTACAGAATCTCCAAACTGAGTAAAACGGTCTGAATTCTTTTGAACAACCGTTAATCTAATAAACCCTGTTAACGGACGCTGTAATTATCCGAGTTTTGAAGCTTCGCTTTTTGCAACCGAAGACAGCCAATTCAGACACTTTCTTCTTCATAACCGCAGAAAGAAGGGCAAACAATCTGTCCATTTTTTTTAAATACCTGACGGTTAGTCAAGGTTTCCCACTTGACTGAATGTGCGGCGGCATTCTGTGTTTCCTCAAGTATGTTACAGGTCCACGGAAGAAGGCTTTTATGCGTTTGTCCAGTTTCATTACTAAAGTGGTCTGGCTTCTGGAAGATTTTATGACATGAAACTCGCTATCGGCTTACCGAGTTCCGGGAGAAAAATTCGGAATTTAATGTGGACTAAATTTGAAACCAGCGCTAAATCTGTCTACCTCAGTTGGATCCCACATGTCACGCCAGATGGTTGGTCGTGTACGACCATGACAGATTTGTTTTTTTCGAAAACCAGGTGCTTTTGAGCGCTTGTTTCAGTACATTCTTCCTCTTTGTTACCTCTGTGTTATCCCTACTGGGATTGTGATCGCTGAAAATTTACCACCAGTAAAAAGCTTGGCTTAGCTGAATGACCTTGACAAACAGCCCGAGTAACATCATGTCAAGGTGATAACATTTAACCTCCGCCATCATTTGGAAAATGTTTGGGTCCGATTGAGTAATCATTGTTTCAATGAGGTTTGGTAAACATCCGATGGATTTATTGCTGGACAACGTTTCACCTCTGATACAAAACTTTGTCAGGTCAGATGAGTAAGTAACCAGTTTGATTGGGTTTTAAGTCTCTCAACGAACCAATCTGTGAGATTTTTTATGACTAGCTGACTTGACCACTGCTGGGTGTCGGTCTGAATTTCCTGTTTGTCGGTTTGTTGGGATGACAAACATTTACGATAGATTGGTTAGGGATGACTTGACCACTGCTGGGTGTCGGTCTGAATGTCCTGTTTGTCGGTTTGTTGAAATGACAAATATTTACGATAGATTGGTTAGGGGGGATTGTCTTCACGTTGAAACCGGATTTTGCTGCCTTGCTTTTCCGACCTAGGACACCTTAATGGAATATCCCTCTTTGGGGTCATTCACAGATTTTGCTCGCCTAACTGCCAGAACGATTAGGCTGGGTGGTTCAGTAGACCTTAGTCTGTTTCAATTCTCTACTTTTGGGCCCGGACCATTTTACTGATAAATGCACACCACCCGGTGTCATCTCGGTTGATCTAAGACCGCTGTCCACATGCTTTCCAGCTCCACACCCTCTATTCCACTTACGCTGGGATTGTTATCGATTTCCACCGCCTCGGCCATCAGTCACCGTGGTGTGAGTCATGGTCCCCGTCTCAGAATGTCCAGATTTCCCAAGTCGAACATGTGCCAAGTGTCCAGTACACGGTCTGCCATTGTCGAATCTTTGACTGTCGCGTAACATTCATCTACATTTCTCGGTGGTCTTTTAATTCATTGCTTATGCTCACCAATTCTGAAGTTCGATTTCCTGGCTGTCTAACCTATATAAACCGTGGTACAGTAGTTACGTCTTATTTCGTATATACAGTTCCTAGTCCCATCAATCAAAACCGAACATAGCCTTTCCCTTCTGGAATGCTGTTCTAATGTTATCCCAACAATAAATTTACCGACTATATATTTGTAATATACTACTCATAAGGTTGCTGAAAATCCATCGACAGCCCACGACCGGTTTCGCCCTTCTGCCCTGGGCTCATCAGGTAGGCGCAGTCCCCGGGTTTCCGTCAACCTTATGTTCTACTTGAACCCAAATTGAACTGTTTTTCGAGTCTCTCGAAAGAACCAAATTAGTTTCCAGATGAGTGTATATTCGCTAATTCCGTGCAATTTGGTTTCAAGTAGAACATAAGGTTGACGGAAACCCGGGAACTGCGCCTACCTGATGAGCCTCAAGAAGGGCGAAACCGGTCGTGGGCTGTCGATGGATTTTCAGCAACCTTATGAGTAGTACGTTACAAATATATACATGTATCGCGACATTTCAAATATCGTAGCGACTGAAAAATGAGGCGGCCTGGTACAGCACATTCAGTTGCCTGAGAACATCATAAACGAGAGATTCAGCTGGGTCCCAGGTGAGTCTCTCGAAAGAACCAAATTAGTTTGCAGATGAGTGTATATTCGCTAAATTCACCGACTGTTTTCCAAACCTCTCCGAAAAGATAACATTCAACCTGTTTTCCGAGATTTGGAGTTAAGTTGCATACCATCCGTTGCCATACAAGGATGACTCGGGATTGCACGCGGTTGTTGTCGCCCCTTTTGTTGGCGGCACACCTAAAAGCTGATTGCCAAGCTCGCTGAACAGCTCGGCTTGCAACAGCTACTGAACGCGTCTCAGGTACGGACATTTCCACACACTACGGCGCGTAAAACAAGTTTAGTCTGAGGCTGTTAAATAAAGCTAGTAATGTGGGCAGTCCTGAGAATCTCCTAAGAAACACGACTACACTATATCACTTATACATGAACATCATGCCGACGCTGTGTTACATGAAAATACTTTCTCTTTTCAGCGTGGTAATTCTTGTCTATGTTTTAGTTTGTCTTAGTTGTTTTTCATTCAGTCGCTAGTTTTGTGGATAGAGCATACCACTTCCCGGCTGTCGATTGCACTTTGAGCAAACTAACGGCAAAACTTGTATTCCACATACTGTGCTTTTGGACGAAACGCTTCAGAATAGAACTTTCATTCACAAGTTGGCAAAGTAAGGAAAATTTCAGCCGTTATTTTTGTTCATTAATTTCCCAACGACCTTCATCAGCATAATGAGGCACGAGCATTTGTAGGATTTACCAGAAACAGACATCCCCACACCTAGACTTCCATGAAATGATAGAAGAACTTGGTATAATTAAAACGTCTCCAAATCAAAGAGGTAAAATCATGAACAGAAGAACACTGTTCACTTTGTCGTGATTTCTTTTGCAGTATTAATGAAAGGATAGCTGTCACGGAATGAATGTGGTGTTTAGCTTGCACAGTGTGGTTAATTTTCTGAAGCTATTTCATTCTTCAGTCAGTAAGACTCACCCTTCTACAGAGAAACCCAAGCAGTTCTCAGCTAGTTGGACAGTTGCTACCACAGTGACGGCGGATACTACTGATGAGGCGTGTGAGTAGTGTGTGGTTTTCTCGTAACTCCGCCTCGCGTCCAACGGAAGTTGGGGCTTAGTACGGAACTTGTGGAACTGCTTTGCAGTGTTCGTTTACAATTGCGCAAGAGTCAATGGATATCCATGAACGTTCAAGAAGACGCTTGAGGATATTCAGTTTTTAAAAGCAAAGTGCATATGAGAGCTTTCCTTTCCTGTCCAATAGTATGTAACTGTTTAAAAAACGACTTCGAGGAGATGGGCTTTCCTCCTTACACCATGAATCGCTACTTCGGAAAGTTATAACTGACGAACCGATAACCTCAAAGACAAGATCAGAATCTTTTACATCCTGTGCGTTTCGGTTACAAGTTACATCACCCATTAAACTCAGTATCCCTCACCCATTAGGATGGTTGCCATGCCATGTGTTCCAGGCTTATGCCGCACCCACCTATCGCGCGTGGCAGACATGCGTGCACTGCCTTGCATTTTGCCCCGGCGTCGCAATCGATTTGTCCCATTTTTCAATTCCGCGCATTCTGGGCAATCAATACGCTGTCCCAGTCACGTAATTTCTTCGAATGTGTGCGCACAGGTAATGTAAATTGCGGACCATGTGCAAGGAAGCGGTCTGCTTGCGACCAGACTGCCTACGTGACCGGATTTTGGCATGAAAATTTTACCTGTTACTTAATATGGATACATTTGACATGAGGGACACCAAAGTGGGGCGCGTGTCAAAGGGTCACGTCCACACTGTTGACTAACCATCATCGAAAATTTTAGTTACAATTTTGGGCCCTTGAATTAATCTGTCTGAGTTCTGGTTTAAGAAACATGTACCTGCCTGACCAAGCAATTTTCAAAACCGCTTCAAGCTGTTTGACGTGGCCTGTCGGTTCACTCGACCATCCCAAATGATATCATGTCCTATGAGCTCCTTCCGAGAATTCACCCATCAAACGTTTTCAGCTATCTGTTTAACTACTAAAAACAAGTACATTAACATATCACCTTCATAGCTTGATATGCTCTGTGCTGTAGTCTTGTCACCTTTTGTCAACTTACAGGATGAGTGTTGTGTTCGCTTCTTTTTGGAGTAAAATAATCCTGGAGTTTGAGCGAACCGAGGAACACTTGTTCAGACGAGACGGTCCTTCAGCACGGAAGCCGGCGAAAGAGAACGTTATTCCGGCATATTTTCACCACCTATGTGAATATTCTTAATTAAACTAGAATAACTTATGCAACTGTGCTTGTTTTTCTGGATTTCAAAAAAATGACGGGTACGGGTTGATGGAATCGGGGGGTAAATGGAGTGAAATGTAGCGTGGTGTTTTGGCCGTTTCACCTAATAGGACCAACTCACACTGTCATCTGCTCAATTATGACCTCCATATACCGATGATGCGGATAGAGAGAACCTGATCAACGCCAAAAAGGTGTCACATTGGAAACTTACGCTGCGGTTGGGAACCTCTACTGTTGCGTTCCAAATAGGGTTACTCTCGAAAGACTAAATCAGTTTTCAAATGAGTGTATTTCGCTAAGTTCTGATACGTTTTGAGCGGTCTTATGCCTGCATGGAATATATATAATTTTCACTTTTCTCTCAAATGTCATTTTGCCAGAGGTTGCATGATAAATTCCTCTATTCTGCAAAAAGTCTACGGAACTGCCTCCTCGAAGATTATCCGAAAATAATGAGGACAGATTTGAGGTGTTTTAATGTGCCATGCTGATGGACAGTTCCTATGCATCAGAGACAGTTTTCACACTCTTTGTTTCACACTAATTACTGAAGCCATCCTCTGAGAGTTTTTTCAACGTGACACTAAACTTTTCAGGATTGAAATGCAATCTTAGCTAGTTCGAGATGGAAGCTTTATGATCACTGTCACAGTTACCGTGACGCAACGTCGTATTGGCCTGATTCACTTGCCCTCTTACCGTTTGTGGTACAGCCATTTGTTCAAACTCACCGATTGCTTTGTGCAGTGAATGAGTCGAACAGTTTCATTATCCTGCGATGTCGCTGATCGTGTTGTTCCGGCAATATAGTGTTCGCACGGAAATCCTGCATCTTCTACCGCGACAAGAGCCACCGTTCTATTTTGTTCTTCTTTTGCTCCTTCCTGATCCATAAACGAACGGACATAACGACCTTTTGAACTTGCACGTGGTGCAACTTAGCAGTAAATATGTTCGGCTTGTCAAGGAATCGAAAAGTGTGAGATGGTTGGGAAGAAATTCAAGCTGCCGGGAGCGATAATTACATGAGGAGATGTTGTGGTCGAACAGTTGAAAAACCACATATACCATAGTATCTCACACCATCAGGAGCCTAGGCGTAGCACACAACGTTCACAAAATCCCTATTACTAACGTTTGCTTTGCCTTTACTGTCCAAGGTTTGCCCTGCATTTTTATACGAGAGTCTCTCTCATAAGACAACCATGAAAAAAATTCACGGCGACAAATAATCTGTGGTAACTGAAATGTTTTTTTTTGTATAACAGAACCACGTGCTAAGAGTGAACCCTAGTTGTGACACATCCGGTTTGTAGCGCTCTTACGCGAAAACTGTCAGCTAAATAGGGTGTTCACTTTGGACCTAAGACACTACTCATTAGGTTGCTGAAAAACCTTTGACAGCCTACAACCGGGTTTGCCCTTAATCAGGTAGACACAGTTCTGGAGTTATCGTCAAATTTATGTTCATCTTGATTCGATAACTGCTCTCAGTCGCACACAAATTTTGTTTTGACAGGAGGTTCGAATAGACGCAATTGAATCTCTAGTTTGTGGTGAGTCCCAAGAAGGGGCAAACCGACCGTGGGTTGTCGAAGGGTTACGAGTAAGGTATTACGTCTAAACCAACAACGTTTTTTGCGATATCTCGAATATGGGATGGTCTGTGCAGCATATTCACCTGAAGTGAGAGATTTACTTCAATTCAGCTGAGTCTCCTGTCAAAATCGAACTCGTCTGCGAATTTGTCGAGAAGTGTTAACTTGTTTGGCGGAATACACTATTCGTAGGATTTCTGAGAGCTTAGTCAACCTTGGAATCACAACCAATTTCGAGTTCGCTGTCCAAGCAGGTGAAACATATTCCGTCAGCATGACCCGATTTAATGCACCGAAGACAGCGTGTGGTGCGTTGGCGGACGTGTTCCGTCCGGCCGTTTACTGCATTTGACACCGGCTGGCGGTGGTGCGCAGGACAACCAATCCCTGTCGACGCGCTGCGCAGCCAGGGCAGGCAAACAATCGATTTTGACATGAAAGCTATTCGACCTTCCTAGTATCTGTCTATCGCACGATCATTTGCTTCCTGATATTGTGGAAACTTCCCGTTTGGTCGGATTTCCCTGAGCAGTTGGGACAACAAAACTACGTACTATCAGACCATGTGGGAAAAACGTATTCAAAATCTATTGCTTGGTGTTCTAATTCTCTGTAATATTTCAATATGCACCTCCGAATACTATAGTGCAATAACCGAACTCAACCGAGCCTACGAAGTTGGGAGACAATTGGCCTCGGATTTAGATACATATCTTGAATTGGAAGAAGCGCGCTTAAGCCGTATCCGGCGTGTGGCTAAACGGTTGTCTACCCAAGGTCTCGATCCCCAGTTGGCCACAACGCCTGAGGATTTCTTTGGAAATCCTGTGCATGCATACTTGACAGTCAAACGGCTTGCAGTGAACTGGAAAGCAGATCTGTTAGCATTGCTTGATGGCTATTCTGAACAGGAGCAGAATGAAGATACAGGATCTGAAAGCGTTTCAACCCAAGGTATGTCACTTGCAGCCGACAGGCAACAATTGACAGAACTGCGTGCACGTGTGGAACAATCGGCAAACCTGCTACCGGGTCACAATGATGTCACCGGAGCTGCGGACGCCCTGTTATTGCTGCAAAGCACGTATCGACTACGCGCAGAGGATATCGCAAACGGGAAGTTAACAGCAGACTTGACATGTCCAAAACTGACAGGTTCGTTTCGTTGTGTTCCATTTCGTTTGTTGTATGTTTCGTCCATCGTAACAGATGAGTGCGGATGACAGTATTTGACAAATCCGTCCAATTTGGGCTCAGGTAGAACGTCAGGTTGGTTTTAACAAGAACGTGGGAGAATTTCGTTTCAGGCATATGAGAACACTGGTCGTAATCTGCACCATTTTCCGGCCTATTTCGCAATATTTACAGCGGCGCCATCCCGCTTTCGACACACCATACACCATTTCTCGACGCCATTACTAAGCAGCTTCAGGTAACTGGTACTTGCAAACAGAACGAAAAACGCTGACAAATGGGCTCTGTTTCATTACAAAGCGCAGTCCAGCAAGTTTTAAATGTGCTCGAAACCTAAAGCTGATAATGCCACTGGTTTGATTCCCAAACTTTTCGTTTTTGCGGAGATGGAATGAAAATAAGGGCCATTCGTCGTTGACTAAAAGGTCTAAACTGACAAATCACTGCAATCAAACCAAACTGATCTGAAAATGAGTGTATATCTCGAAAAACAGTCCAATTCGGGTTCAAGTAGTACATAAGTTTGACGGAAACTCGAGGACTGCGCCTACCTGATGAGCCCCAAAGAAGGGCGAAACCGGTTGTGGGCTGTCGAAGAGTTTTCAGCAACTTGTGAGTAGTATCCTTCATGTGGTGACTAGTTTCTTAGACCATAATGTTCATAGACTGGTTAAAAGTTCCACGTCAGTTAACTACGAACACATGTTCTCGGTGTTTCTGTGGCGTGCTTCAATAGCGATGTCCATCTGAATAGAGATTCATGAGTTCAAGCAGCTACTCACCCTTTTTCATGATTCCTGTGTGGATTTGAGTTATTTTCACTTGAGTTTCAACACTCTCTAGCTTTTTTTCCAGGATATTATCATGCTCTGGTGCACTACCTTTTACAATAGATTTTCTCAAGTTTGCATCCAATACACGATTCAGTTTTCCATACACTTCCTGCCAGATGTCTGAATACCACTCAATTTGCCTTGCTAAATCTTTCCAATGGAAAATCATGGTGAATAGAAAGAACGACGGATTTAGTCAGTTGGTTCGGTTCCTTTTTGTTTTCCGATATTGACACTAGGGAACAATTGACTAAAAGTAGTGGGTAGGATCAAATGAGTCGGTTGTAGAAATCCCTGAAAACGGTACCCGGAACTCCAAATCGTAACAGTCATCCGATTACGCGGTTCTGACCTTCAACTATCCAAAATAGACATGTCTTCAGGAAACCACACTATTCGGTTCACGGGTAATCATTCGGTTAGGTCAGAGACAGAGCAGTTTGTCGCGTGACACTCAACACTTTTCTTCAATTGTTGCTCCGGTACTGGGCTCGGCAGACCTACCACTGATTTGGTACAGGTTTATACCAGGCCGTTATTTTGGACGGTTTTGATTGTGCCTTGTGGCCGAACAATATGTAAGCATTAGTGTATACTAGTGTGTGCTAAGCTAATGTACCTTGGTAGATCAATGGTTCTCGACAGGGGTGGTGTTCCACACGATGGAAGATTTCAAAGGCTCGAATGGTCGATCAGGGTCTAAGATTTGGAAGATTATGATTGGCGGAACACGGGACTTCACAAGAACGGTCTGAGGTTGGGCTCTTTGACACACTGCATTATACTACATCTTCTGTTGTTCACTGACCGTCAGTTATCGATGGTAATCTTGTGACCAGGACGCGTGTTCTGAACATCTCAACTCTTTGTGACGTTTCCATCGACACAAACTCGGCGAATGGTCGAATGGTAGGTGAGAATGGTCCTACCAACATGCAGTCGACAAGCTTCGAAAATTGTCACGCATTCTCACTTGATAAGAAGTTAGGTTGTATTGCTGACATATTGCGTTTGTCATACGTCAGAGGTTGATCTTGCCAGTTTTTTTATTTTGGTTTGCACGCCAAGTCGCCGTTGTCAGCCGTTCAACCTAATTTTTGTGCTTACAATGAAATTGGTTGAAGCTCGCCTCAATTTCCATTCTTGCGACCAATCATATTGTGATATGTACCATACTAAATACTGAGCTTTCGTAGCTTCAAAATAAGGGGAACTTATTTCATGTGGTCCTTGTCCCAAAATTGTGTGCTTTTTAGACGAAATGATGCTACCTGGGGAACTAATCACATTACCCAAGATCTGAGCAGTTTGAGACGTGATAGTTCAGGTGCGTCCAGCGTGAGTTAGTGGTACGCTGGCAGCAGGGCGTCCTCACATTTCCAATTTTCAAAGATCATCTCCCGGCATGACATGCATTACTGATGAGCTCGGATGGAGCAAAACTCAATAAAACGTTGTAACTTGAATACAAATTCAACAGATTCTGTATCCACCCATATGAAGCCGAACTCTATCATAATATTTTAGTGACTGGTGGTACCTCGATTAGTAGTACCTTCATTGGTCTTGCCCGGGGTCAAAAACTGAGAGCTGGAATCCTACTTTGCTGGGTTGCGAACCGAGAGCTCATGTCAATATTGGCAAATGATCATAGCCTACAACGAAAACTTGCAGAAGGACCTGCTGTAAGTGTAATAGTGATACTACTGATGGGTAGGCATGCGAGTAGTATGTTCTGTTCCCGTAAATCCGCTTTACTTCTCTTGAAAAGGGAGATCTGTTGTGAATTTGGGGAGTCGCTCTTTAGCATTTGCTTGGATTTGAGCAATGAATGATTGGAGTCGATGAAATGAATAGAAAGTTCAAGAAGACGCGTTTAGGAGAAGATGGATGTTCAGTTTTTGTAAATAAGATGCAAATGAGAGTTTTGCTTCCCTGTCCAATAGTCTGTAACCGGTCATTTGGCATTTTCTAATAAATAACTCCGCAGCAAAGGCCCTCTTTTTTCATAGGTAGTGATTACATCAGTCTGTGTGCCGTGTTTTCTTTGCAATCATAACATTACAACAGAAAAAGTGCAACAATTAAGAAATCACTCGCAATACTGCTCTCCGAGCAGTGGCGCAGGTGATGGAAGCTCCAATTACCGGTGGTTTATAAACGGCTGAAACTTTTTTTATTCAATTCTCATCGTGCTAACTCAACAGCCGCCCAGTGCGTACACCTTGGACAACAAGCTTACGAGGCACACGACTTTTTCCGTGCAGAAGAGTGGTTCCGTGTTGCCTACAATCGTTTATGGGAGGAACTCCATCGAAGTGATACACATTTTGCGATGGGTGAAGACGGGAATCTCCGCGGGAAACGATCATCTTCTCCGGAGGACAAGGAAAATTTTGACTTCTCAATTCCAGATGAGGCCCGACCAACTTCTGTTCAGATTCTCGAGCATTTGGCCTACGCTCTGGGAAGGGTAAGTTGAAACTGTTATTAGGTTTCCTACTCTGGATGGGTAGATTTCAAAAGTCAAAGATTTAAAAGCTACACAGGATTTGTTGTTCCCATCTTTGAAATAAAAAAAATAGTATATTAGTTGAAACTCAATGCTTGAAAGTATACCGAAACAGTAAAAACTTGGTTGTATTTAACTCATTTTTGATAGGTTAGAAAATTCATTTATCTGGTAAAACGGATTAAACTTTTTGCAGCGCAAGTGAACGAATGAGAATCTTTTCACCAAAACAGTATTTACCACATCCGAAAGCCGAATGAGGTGCTACTCATGAGGAACCTTTCAAATCGGGTAACCCAAAACTCACGGGACAATTTTGACGGGGTGGAATTTACCTCACGATGGTCTACTTGCAGCGCAACAAAACTGAGGAAACACGCATAGTTACTGCCGAAGTAACGCATTTTCCTCTTGGCAGGAAATAGCCACTTAGACAAGTCATTTGTACTTCATTTGGATTTACTCATTGGCTCAAGTGCAAAACGGCCAATGTCATAAGAACTGCGTTCGCGGGTTCTCCTTGGCTAGAGTTAACTTGGCTTGATGGATAGTCCAACCAAGGGTGAATGAACAGTTGGAATGAAGGTTAGAGATTATGGGACTGAAATTTAGAATGAAGGGACGCGTGATGACTCGATGTTACTCGAGTCAAAATTAACCAAGAATGCTTCCCCTCTGTCACCTTGAGGTAGCTCAATAATGAAGGTGCAAACTCGTTTTGGAAAAAAAGGTTCGCGGTTCGAACCCAACCCCAACACCTCGACTGTTTTTGTCAAGGCTTGGTCAACTTGACGGCTTCATAACCCTTGTACACAACCACCAACCAACCGCTACGCACTACTACGTTCCACAATAACGCACTGATGATGTCACCTCGATTGGTGATGAAACGTTTGCAATCAAATTGCCCAGCTCAGCGAACAAGCCAACGACCACCATCTACGATACCTGAGCTACTAACATTTTCCTCCATAGAATACTTGCATATTTTCAGTGCCGCCTCCGAAGTGGGTTATGGTGCGTTTGGGCATTGTCGCTGGTGCCTCGAACCCGAGAAATTCACATGCATGCTGATATACGCCAAGTCTAGAATGACACCTTTGAAATCTGTAACAGTGCCGAGGGTTGAGCGGAATGCCGCGCGACTAGCCGCAAGGGTGTCGGATCTACTGCGGAAAGAACAGGATTTGCGTTCACAAGGGCAACCTACTGGACGGATTCAACCATAGTGCTTCGCAATATAGGAACACTGCCACTCGCTACAGTACCTCCGTGGCAAACAGAATCTCTACGATTCATCAGTTGTTGTCACCCGGTGATTGGTATCACGTAATGAGTGAGGATAATCCGGCAGACTTAGCCTCTAGAGGAGTAAGTTCTCTGACTGCCCTTCGATATTGGTTCAAAGAGCCGGCCTTCGTGGAAGCGTCCGAGGCCCAGTGGCCACACTACGAACCAAATTTCATACCAGAAGGAATAGAATTGAAGACGAAACGTGCTTCGGTTAACGTGACCGCTGCTTCGGAACCAACTGGGTTGCATCTTTTAATGGGAAGTTGTTCCGATTGGTTTAAACTTCTACAATCTGTGTTATGGTTGACAAGGTTTAAAACATACCTGGGAATGATGGCAAGCGGCTCAACTGAATCCTCACTGAACACTGGAGGACTGAAACTCACAGAAGTGAGGCAAGCTAAGCGTGATATTATTCGCATGGTTCAGAAGACAGTATACACAGCAATCATGCTGAAATTCGAACGCGCCGGTAGGGTTGACGAACGAAGCGTACGCAACCACAAACTAATACGCTTATTCCTGATATTGATAGATGGTTTGCTATGTGTAGGAGGTAGGTTTGATAACCTTTTGTGGTCGCATGTTGCAAAACATCCTATCATACTACCCCCGAAGAATAACGTCACCAGGTTGATAGTTTGGAACGCACACGTGCTGGATGGGCATTGTGAACTGTCGCATACGTTAGCCGAACTGCGGCAAAGATATTGGATCGTTCAGGGAGTATCGATGACTAAGCGGTGCTCCATAGTTGCTGGACGTGTCGAAGAAACCTTACAGTTAGCCATACGCACTGCAACAAGTGGCCGTCATTGAGAACTTTTCTGATTTTTTGCATGGTTTTTACTTTTTCTTACACAACTTCAAGGCACTATAGAGTCGTGGGTGCCGAACAGTTCTTGTTACTTCGCTTGGCAGAGCGAACTGCCACGTAGAGTGATTTCTGTTACAAACACCAGTTTTTCCAGACAGTTAGTTCAGTGTAAAAAGGAATTCTGTCTACAAGTTTGTCATGGATCATGTTCATCATTCATCGCGCTCCATTACGCTTTACATATCTCTATCCAACCCTAGCAAGGAAGATATGCCGAAGCTTTGAATGTGACCAGACTGATTCTCGAGGAAGGTGAGCACTCCTGTTCTTCTCGTTATTCTTTGTTATCACGAGATCAAGGCTGTTGAATAGGGTCACAGATTCCCCCTAGTTTCGAAACGCTTGAAAACCTCCACCCACAGACTTGTTTCACTGAATGTTGCTAACAAAGATGTGCGTTTTAGGTGCAAACAATTTGAGGCAATCATTTGCTACGTAATTTTACCAAGCGTCATGAAAACGCCGACTGTTATAACCGGGGGATGAGCCAATGCCGTAGTGGCTTGGTTGAAATCACACATAGGTCGCGAAATCGAGTCCTGCTCGTTATGAAAGCCTACACTATAATTCGTCAGAAATCTAGTCATCATCACCTACTTGGTGTTCCCGAAGTTTTTGATGTACTACTTTGTCGAAACAACATCGCTGATCCTATTGTTGGACCAAAATAAATCTGTGTGAGCCTGTACTCAATTTGGAAGACGGGATGAAACGTTTCTTTCCCTGCCACTTTATTTGAATACGAATTGTGGTTTACTGGTTGTTTCAGTCCCTCTAAAACTATTTCAAAATGAACACCGTTTTGCGCGTTTGATACGAACGTAGATACATGATTCAACAGTTTGCTTTTCTTGATATTCATCCCTCTACCTGTCCCATTAATCGTTCAGTACAAGGCACCGTGGTCTTTCCTCTGTTCCGAACATAGAAAGGCAGTTTCATTTAGGAGGGAAAACAAATAATCGATCATCGTATTTTCGTCTTCTCTGAAAAATATCCAGACTTGGCTCTTTATAGTGCTCATATGTTCTGTCTCAACCCTTGAGGAACATAGCTTCGAGAATTCACACCAGCTCTTATTACTGGGCTGATGAGAGGGCAGTCAGATTGTCTCAGCTTAGATGGATGATTTTTCCGTCTACCGCAAGTTCGCAGTCGCACAAATATTGGTAAACCTCGTATAACTACTGGTATAACAGTGGATACTACTGATGAGGCATGCGAGTAGTATGTTTTCTCGTAAATCCGCTTCGCGACTTTTGAAAAGTGAAATCTATTACGGATTTGTGGGGTCACTTTGTAGCATTTGCTTGCAACTGAGTAACAGTCAATGATTATCCAGGAAAGTTCAGGAGGACGCGGTCAAGGAGAAGATGGATATTCAGTTTTTGTAAATAGGATGCATAAGGGGGGTTGGCTTCCCTGTCCAATAGTCTGTAACTACTCAGTTGGCGTTTCCTAGTAAACAACTCTGCAGCAAAAGCCTTCTTCTATTTACTGGCAGCTAGGTGTGATTCATCCCGAAGCGATAGGAGCAGTCCACCTACATGAGCTCGGTCGGCCTTATATAGGAGCTCATTGTGAACCTTTTGTTCAACTCCTCAAGAAGGCCGACAGGTCCGATTTTATTCTTGTTTTGTCTTCACATCAGGTAGGCCAGATCAACCACCCTGGTTGGTCACCTTTTTCACACTCAACAGTGTCTTAGGGGTCTGTCACTGCAGATGTTAAATGCAAATTGGGATGATTAGGCTTGTGGCTTCAGCACTCGTTTGTCGCAAACCCAAAAGAGCATAGCCCTGAGTTATTGTTGTTGATGGTAAACCCTGTTCATTTTCACACCACATTCTAAAATTTCCAGTACGTAGGGACATAAGTAAATGGCCCGGTTAGAAGAAAATTGTCCCGGTGCAAGTTGAGAAGTGGACAACCTCATTCTTACAGAGAAGATAGTTGTGCTTCAAAGGAACGCTGTTTGGCGATTGAAATGCACTTTCAAACGGTTACATCGGTAACGAAAACGGTTCAACGAAATGACACTGTAAAATATCACCTAGAAAAGTGGCATTGTCACGCAGGAAAGGAAGCATGAATGTTGATTGGCGATTTACTATCAGGGTCCAGAGACAGAATACACTGCAGGCGTTAGGATAAGAACTGGGTGGCCGTGTCATGGGCATACTGGAGTAAACTGCGTGCGACTGCGTTGGTCTGGTCCTTGGGCTTGTAACTCGATGGCGTGTCACATCATGGTTTTGCGTTCGGCAGGTGGTAGATATCGTACTGTGGTGAATATGGACAACCGCTCCCAATCCAACATTTTTTTTAATTTCACGTCTAGAGTTACGACCGGCAGTTTTGATTAGAATCAAGCCAGAGTGACCATTTCGGCGTATTACCTCGGCTCTGATTTAGTGTTTAACGGGATCCTGGTGTATGTGTTTTCACCACCATGTCGGTCACTAGCTTTCAAGATATATGTTTTAGGGACCACATATGGTTCTGTCACACTCTGTTGCATTTTCCAAACCAAATAACACCTGTTGTTTGTTTTGAAAAGCATCCAGTTCATGATAAGGTGTACACAAACGAAATAATTGAGGCGATTGCTAAGTTTTTATAGTCCGAGCTTTACAAATACATCCTGTGCAAACCCACGGGATTAGAATGAAGACATTTCAGTAGTTATAGCTCACTGGCTAATTCTATCTTTGAATTTCGAAAAAAGTGTGAACTTGACGAATGAAAGATTGAACAAAGTCCATCCTCCGGCTGTTAGCAATTCCATTCTGGTCACAGTAGCGGATAGATTTCCGGGCAGTACAGTTCACATTGGAGGCAAGCTTAACGCACACTCAGACCGTTCAAAGAGACTCTTCTTTTCGAAAAAGATTTGTGACAATCGGTAGATTTATTGTCACGAATCATTTTCGAAAACGATGACTACTCAATTGGTTCCAAGTATTTTTCATTTGATTGAACAGGCTCTTCTTTTTTTCTAGATCCTGAACATGAACAGAGCTTGAGCAACGAAGAATTCTACCAGACACAAATTCAGAAAGGAGAAGGGATTATTGGTCCAGCGCCTCCTCCTGAGAGTGAGTTACCAGCGCACTTTGTGGGCATCGGTGCATCTTCTGAGCCAAATGGTAGCACGTTTCAGACGAATAAAATTCATGAGCTGGGCTTTGTAGCCTGTATCGTTTTGTTGTAAGGTGGTCTAGGAAAAAAGGCAGATTAATCATATAGGGACAGGACCATTTTATTGCTTTCAGAAATTGGTCAGAATACTGTCACGAAAAGACAGGACCTTACCGTGGTGTGGCGGCTTGTGTACCTCGGCGACCCATTGAGCCATACTGGGTGGTGTCCGCGCGAAACTCGCAGAGTCTCTCGTACCAGGTTGGTCCATCGGTAGAGGTCTGACGAACACAGTCTCCTGGCCCTCCAACAAACTATGAAAGCCTATCACTTGAGTTAGTGGTCGATACCAGATCACGTGTTACGAATCTAGGCCGATAGGATATTCCTTTATTCTGTATAACCACGAGATGGCCACATTGCTGGTCAGCCATCTTTATTGTGGAAGTAGAATGTTAAAATTCCATTTAGCCGCTCTACTAGGACTGCAAGAAGACAGAGTGCGAGGTGCTAACATTTCATTTAGTTTTATCGCTTGCGGATGCAAAACATGAAAATTTGTAGGACAAATTTATCTCAGTTCACAACAAAGGAAATGCATGACATGTACTACAGGGGATAAAAGTACAATTTAGTCTAACTGAACGTGGGTTCTCGGATTCGAGTCTCGGTCGATTTTTTTAGACTAAACGACTAAACAACCATATTTTGTGGCAAAGTAGTTCAGCAATGTTTTGGATCGTTGCTTGAGGATATCCACGAATGGAATTCCAAAACCTCGATTCTCATTCTCATTTAAACTAATGCACAGACGCAGAGCAGATTTTGCTGTTTTTAACCTCCACGAGTGTCTTAACGTACTCAGCAACGAGAACGCGAAGTTCGAGTTTGAATAAGCGAAAATGGTGTTCATATTTTGATAAGTGTCTTCTCGAAGTGACTAGTTTTCATCCGGATTATGTGAATACAAAAAAGTTTTTTCTCTTCTGTAGTTGCCGTTAGATTAAGCTACACACCTACCACACTTACTGGTATTTCCCTGGCGACTTAATACTATCATGTTTGATCATGATTCGCATCGTTCGTTGGGTGGTGAAACCCGCTGAATAGTCGAAAAATGTTAGAAGGCAATGGATCCGTAGAGTGATGTGCTGTAGATCAGGTAAGTAACACAAAACATGGGAATATAGAAAATGATTGGCAGTCCAAATGTAGCCTATTGACAGTGAAGAACATGTCATGTCGAACAGGCTTGTGTCATCTTCCATATAATCCCCTTTTTGGTGGACTGTTCCCCATTCGCAGCCGTACTCAGTCGGCCTCGGTTTTTGCTATAACGCTGTGGTTTCTGTGTACACAGCCCACCAGTAGCACTGTACGGCCGAACGGATGCGGGTTGTAACACTCCTAACGAGGATTATCTTGCCACTCAGTTGAATAATCGTCTTGTTTTCTAGCCTTCGATCAAATGCAAGGACGTCGAAGGATTTCTGATAGTAACAACTTTTCTAACAACACGGGATTGAGGGTTTTCCAACAGATGGAGCATTCGAGATCATCAGTCAATATTTCCACAGTTAGTTTTGTCGTTCTAGTAAAACATTTTAGTCTCACCTTCCAAGCTAACTCGATTTGTTTAGGTAAACAGCAGGTCGTGCCTGCTGTAATGTTGGCAAAAGTAGATGGGGGATCGAAATTTTCAGCCCTACCCAAAATTCCTCCGAGTTATCCAGTTTAACCTAAAGATGGTCGAATTCCAGTGGTTTTATTGCTGATTCACCTAGATGCGCATTTCGGACGACATGTGGGGAATGTCGAGGCGCCACTGTGTCATGAACGAAGCTGATTGGCCATTGGGCAAGGTTATCAAGATCAATTATGCAGAACTACATTTGAGCGCCCACCCACGGAAAATGTTCAGTAGCAATAAGCATCAAGGTCAAGTAAAGACACCCATAGACGATTTGAGGCATTGACGCATTGGGTGTTTCAAAAGTGTGACAAGAGCCACTAGTGATAAGAAGGGACAGGGGTAACGAATCTGGCTATGAACAAAGCTGTCTTTCAAAGCGACCAATAAAGTCGTTTTCGGGTTTACGTCAGTTTTATAGGGTCGGCCTATAGCTGCATGGCGATCAAGGGACGCTTTGAAACCGAAAAGCTTATGCTGGCTTATTATTCCTCTTTAGAACTCTCGAAATTGGATGAGGAGACTGAAATTTATCAAGCCTTGTGTAGAGGAGAGCAAATATTCCCACCTCCGCCTGATGACCAAGTTTACTGCCGCTACTATGTCCCCCATCCCTACTATAAAATCGGTCCTGTCAAGGAAGAGGTCCTTTACCCGGATCCTCGAATTGTCATGTGGTATGATGTGATCCATCCATCGGAGGTTGAGCGAATCCAAGAGCTGGCTGTACCACGGGTAAGTAGTATTACCTACTAACTATATTTTAATTCATCAGCTGGTGTGGTGAATATAGGGATCACCATGTTTTCGTAAAGGAAACCACTCACAAAGTTGCTGAAAACTGTTTGACAGCCCACGACCGGTTTCGCCCTTCTTCGGGCTCATCAAGTGGGCGCATTCCCCGAGTTTCCGTCACCCTTATTTTCTACTTGAACCCAAATTGGACAGTTTTTCGAGGAATACACTCATTTGCAAATCAATTTGGTTTTCACGAGAGACTCGATTGAATCTCTCGTTTAAGCTATTTCCTTGAAATGAGAATCTCTTATCCTTGACATTAGAATGACCGCTGCAACCAACTTGGAACGCATGCCCGGGCAGAAACCTCTACTCCGCAGAATTCGAATTGACCAATATATTTGTCAACAACTGATGAACAATAAGGAAGCCATATGGCAAACCGGACAAATCTCCCATCACAGTTTTAAGACAAACAGAGCAAAAAACATACAGATTCGATGATACTAGTTTAGTGATAAAGTAATGGGCACTGAAAATCAAGCAATACTTAAAGGTGGGGACAGATATCAAACCATGGAGGAGTTTTCAGGAGTTTCAATGGTTTTCAGCAACCTTATGAGTAGTACATTACAAATATATATGTATCGTGATATCTCAAATATCGGTGCGACCATGGGGTGACCTAGTGCAGCACATTCAGTTGCTTGGAAACATCGAAACCGAGAGATTCAGCTGGGTTCCAGGTGAGTCTCTCGCAAAGCCAAATTTGTTTGCAAATTTATCCTGTTTGATTTGCACTGGTTTACGTGCTTATCCGAACCGATGGAAGAGAGATTTCGCCTGCTTTAATGGGAAGGTATGCCGAAATGTATTGGGCAAACATGACGACAGTAGGATTTGGCAGATTGAGCTAGACCATAATTAAGTTTTGGACGTGAAACTACCAGCGTATTCGCAACCAAATTGGTGCCCATGATGGTTCCAACTTGTGGACCTTTGCAGCAGTGTAGCATCAAGTATGGTGAACAGTTTGATCGTCCAAGTCAGTCCTCAAAAGGGCCGTTAACTGCTGGAATGATGTAACTCTGAAGAAAAATGGGCTTGAAAATATACGACCGAAAAAGTTCAAAAATCAAACTAAGTTGGCAACAAGTGCCAGAATAAGACAGTGAAGTAGACCTCCTGATCAGCGTAGTGTGGGAGTGGCTGATCGTAAAGGCCTTTCCTGAAAAAAACTCTTGAGGTATGTTTTCGAGCATTCGTTACCATCCGGGATGGAGCTAGAAAAATGCACCAATAATAGATTAGAACGGATCCATTGGAGAAAAAATTAAACGGTGGGCAGGTAGGGCTAAATTCCTTCAAGGTATATTTGCATTCCGAGACATAGAAAAAGATAGATAAAGCGGACTTCGAACTAAGAAATTTTTTTGCTAAGCAACACATCTGATTTCTGAACACCGTGCTTCCTTGAATTTTCAACGGAATGATCGCCACGGTTGACTTATACTACTGCCGAACGGCGAGTAGCACGAGCTTTCACCCGTTCTGTACTTGCTCATTGCGTCCACTGCTCAAGCGGGCACTGTATGAGACAGGGTCAACGAAGAGATCGGTGTAAACAAAAAAAGAATGGAAAGTTATACAAGGGACTACATAACTGTCAGTCATTTGGGGCACTGCGCTAAACCCCACTTCTCGGAGCGAAAGAGCCTACTTTTCATATAAAAAGCATCTAATCACACGGTTGGTAGTCATTTGAACGCATTGTAATCTATGCCTCGTTTTGCACTGTGGGTGAAATTCGGTTCATTTTCGGTTCCCTGTATAAGCCAGTGGCCTGTAGGTTTTTTCAAACAAAGAAACTAGTGGCCTGTGGTTTTTTCCAAACAAGAAACTGCAAAATGCTCTGCCGACATAAAATAGGACACTCCCAAGCGTTTGAGGTAGATTTCTGCTCTTACTCGGTTGATGGAGTGTTCATGCCACATTTTACACACAAAATGTGTTATCCTTTTAGCTCCGACGAGCAACTGTGAAGAACCCTGTCACTGGGAAACTAGAAAACGCCTATTACAGGACCAGCAAGAGGTAAGGCAGAATTTGTCAAATTATCAGTTCCTCAACAGAACACTTGCATATATGTATCAAGTATTTGCTAGTATGACTCAAGCTAATCCACCCAATTAACATTTTTTCGATCCACCATTTTTGTGTATTTTGAAACTCGAGTGATCCGTTTCTCCAGTAATCTTTAGGTTGGCTGGCTTAAGAGACGGATTTGCCAACTAGCACTGGTTGAACCAAGAAACCAAGTAAATCACACGTAGTTTGTGCGGAATCGAACGTGGTCATCGGGGGAAATATCTGATATCGGAAAAACACAAAAGAATAAGAGCTGTAGACAAGTGTACGGATGCCTGCTAAGAGACACTGAGTGGTTTAGTTATGACGGCATTGGTTCTTTTCAATTGAGACGCATCGGAATCTACTGTTTACTGCTGAAAGTTGCACGAATATATAACACTTCCAGCGTTTTCTAACATCGTTCTCTGGAGACGCCTTTTGCTGTACAGTTTGGTTGGAGACCAATAAGTACAAGGTTAGTCAGTAGCCGCTAATGTCCCCCTGTAAAATGACGATAAACTCGGTCATGTTTTGGTTCGGAATCGCAGCAAAACTTATGTCGCAGTGTTTTATTCAGAACCTCACAGTCCAGGCGTTCCATCTGGCTGTGGATGCCATCTTCCGAAGACGGATTTCAAGGGAACCGAGGGTTTTTATCCGAATTTAAACGTTTATCAATTGAAGGAACCTATTTTTCCCGAAGAACTAAAGTTGAACGTGTTTTCCCTAAGATTGGATGCAGAGTAAAAGTCTTGAAAAGCTTTTTGTGAATAAACTGGCTAGGATTTCAGACGGCTCTCGATTTACACCGTTTGGTTTTCATCTACCCAAGTGCTTGGCTCCATGCTGGGCTTGACGAAGTGACGCACAGACTAAACCGGCGAATTCACGCACTTACTGGATTGGCTATGGAAACTGCAGAAGACCTACAAGTGGGCAACTACGGAATTGGTGGCTATTACGCTCCACACTTTGATTTTGGCCGAGTAAGTCATGATTTTGTTTAAAGTGACCAATAACCCGACTACTTCTTGGGTCAAACAAGTGCTTGAGCAGCGGCGAAGACAGAGCGTTCTTCACCGCTAGGATATTTTATGAAAATCGAAGCCAGAGGAATCATTTAAGTCGCGTTTAGTTCGAAGCAGTTCAACACATAGGTTCATTTCTTTGAAAACCCTGGATCGAATTCCAGGTGGATTTGTTAGAATGTGATATGCGACTTAAGTCGTATTAAAACGTGGATTTTTGTAATTTCAGTTAAGTTTATGAGAATTCCGACAGCTAAATTTCTCTTATCACTACCATATGAGTACTTGCTTATTTCCAGAAACGGGAGAAAGACGCATTCGAAGTTGAAAATGGAAATCGCATCGCCACAATAATTTTTTATGTAAGTGATCTTGAAACCAATATTACATCCCATGCGAACATGTTCACTAGTTCAGATGTGGTAGTTACAAGGTTGCCTAAAATGTTCGACCGCACTCTCCTGGTCTGTCACATATCCGAAGTTCAAATTGCGGTAAGATCTGGGATATGCAGTGGTGATGAGCGCTAGTAACAGCGGAACTGGAGCCCATTGTTTCAAGCTTTGGTGTGGGCCAAACATAACGAATGTCTCGAGGAAGGACGAAGACTCTTCATAGTTGAATAGGAATACATTGACTATATCCTTCTTTTCCCATGTTCGTCTACTTAAGATGTCTGTTTTGGTTTCTGGTTGGTATGTTCATTAATAAAACAAATATGTCATCCTAAACGATAGAGTGTGCAACGAAATTGTTGAATTTCTAGGGTGAGAACTTCATCTCGGCCAAAATCCCTTGATGAAAATCTGAGAAAGCTCGGGTGGCTGTAGATTGCCATGGGCGATCAAGTATGCTACCTGAAAAATTTGGAAGAAGTTTTCTGAATAGGACGGCGTAGGATACCACCAAAAATTTCCAAACTACTTGGCAATTTGACTCCGTTTTGTTTTCAGTTCAACACACTTCATGTGCATGCTTAATAGGCCGTCCACGTTTTGGCACCGTAAGTACGAAACTCGTAGCCCTCGAATTGTGAAAGTGCTGAAAACGGACGCCCTGTTGGGTCCAGTGCTAAATCAATTTTCGTTAGCTACCCCTTTCCTTGAGAAGCTTTGAGTCGAAGACCAAAATCTAACTTGCCTGGTTGCAACATCTGAGCAACAGTGCGGCTAAGTGTGCTCAAACACGTGAGAACTTTCTTCACAAAGCTTTGGAAAAAAATCTGCGGAAATGTTCCCACATCATTGTTCAAAATTAACGGTTCACTAAAGGACTATCTTCGAAGTGAGTTCGAAAGGGTAGAAGGAGTTTAGGTGCTACAGGATGTTGATTCGTTGTCCAAGTGACCATCACTACACAATGGTTACAGTAAATGAGACTGCTCTACGTTACTGACAGGCATTTGACTTGCCGCTTTGGTGCTGCTTCAATATCACTCATTTGTTTCTTGAAAAATATTGGTTTCGGGGCTTGAAACATCGGACAGCTTCATTGACATGACCAATAGGTACACACGAGCATTTTCATTTTGACATTGCACTATTTTGACGTGGGTTCCCAAAGTACTCGGACCGTAGAGTTCCTGAGGGCCTGTTCAAGTTATGCAGAGCTTGTTCACAATGCCTACCAGTAATGTGAGGCATATTTCAAGGTGGTTCAATCGTTAAGGCGAAATCCGATCGACCGGAAGGCCCGCGGTTGGAACCGAACTCCGACATCTTGACTGTTCCTATCTAGGCTTAGACAATCTGACAGTATCTCAGTCCTCGTGCTTTCTTCATGTGGCACAGCGACTAAACACCGAAAGAGTGTTACGGCTGAACGATTACACTATTAGTTGTAGTCAGATTGTAGTCAGACTCTGTAAGCGTCTACCATGATAAGATAGTGCTGATTGTTAACTGATCCGGCAAAATCAACGTGTGAACGCAACAAAGGGTTAGTTGGTGCAGGCCAAGAAGATAATTCGGTCTTCCGTGGCGATTTTGCAGAACACTGACATTTGGAACAGGATTGCTCAGGTTCTTCTAGTTGTTTGTCCATACCTGGCCAGTATACATGACTGCGCGTCAAGGCATTCATATGGTTGATGCCTGGGTGTCTAAAATAAAACTGTTTTAGTACTCGCGGTTGCAGTGCCCCTCGCGGGGCACATAGACTTGTCCTGTACAAGGAGATGCTCTTTACTTGGACACCGTTCGCTAGTGGCAATCCGTTTGTTCGCTCACCCGATTGGATACTTTGTAAGAAGTAGTCTGGAGGTGCGCTGACTGACGGGATGAACTGCACCAATTTCTATCACGATGAATCTGTAGGGTATTTCATGCGTAAAGTTTATCACGAACATGTGTATGATACAAATCTTGGTGCGTTTCCTTCAAAGTCCGAAAACGGTTTTTTTCATCTCCATATTTCTAAGAAATTGCACACAGGTACTGGTGCACCTCCTACCGATCATCTACCTACGGTGACCGATCTTCAACCGCTATACGCGGTGTAGCCGCCTTAAACGAGCCTTGACAGACGCCCTTATGGTCGAGCCAGAGCGATTTGTGTGAACTGCCTACCAGTGGCAAGGAACAAGTTGTAAACCTTCTCTGTGTATTAACTAATCTTCACTCAATCAAAAAATTCCATTGTAAGTCTAAACACAACAACCAGCTATCCTTTTCGAACTTTTGTTCCAAAATAATTCAGATGATTCAGTGTCATGTTGTGGATACCATAAACCTTTCTGGATGTAACAGTGCCCTTACTGTGCCAGTTTCTGTCCACCTCGGTACAAACTTCACTGGTGCTTGCCTAGTTTCACACAATCGCAATGACTTAAATGAAGGTATCCAGGGCAAGGTGAGTTAGATTCAGAAACGTGTCGTCTAGTTGAAAGTTTGACTAGGTGATTTTGCTCGGAGACATCTAAACGAGTGCGATGGGCGGTAAACAAGTAATCACTACAATTCGGTTCGAACCACTTCACATTAGTGATGGTTCTATTGTGTTCTATTGAAAACCACATTAAGCGGGGCCTCGATTAAACCATGATTAAACATGACGTCGCAACCGATCAGAACTCCAAAGTGAGCTTTGCTCACTACTCATTATATCTTCCAAGTTGACTGCAGGTGCGGCGTAACTTTTGTCTGAAACGGAAGAGCTAAAATGCGTGTCAGAAGACATCCGCCCGAAAACACACGTATCGCTCCGTGATATGGTCACTCGTGAAATTGTCAAGTTACCTATCACTAAAGCCTTGGAAGTGCGTGTAGAAGACATCCGCCCGAAAACACACGTATCGCTCCGTGATATGGTCACTCGTGAAATTGTCAAGTTACCTATCACTAAAGCCTTGGCTACAACCAGACCTGGTACCGTCAATGATGACTCATCATTTCAGTTCGTTCACGAGATTCACTCCATCAAAATGACTAAGATTCCTAGAAGCATTTACGTTTAATCGACCGACGCCACTGCTATACCGTCAATAAGGCTAATTGTGACCAGGGGACTAGGGTGGTTCTATTGTAGAGGGCACTGTAGAATAGCGAAACTCCCAATGTAGGTACTACGATAATTTCTGTGGATGAACCGGAGGTCCGTAAGCAGGGCGATGTATATCACCAGCGCTTACAAAGAAATTAAACACAATGAGAAGCACCTTTGGAAAGACCCTGGACCCGACATTCAACGGCTTACGTGCACTCGCCAGTGTTTCGGTGAGTAAAGCTGGCGACTGTGTGTACGGAGGTTGTAGATATGATACTGTGACGAACGTGTGCGGTTGGACGACGTACCAACTAGTACACATCTCCATGAAGTTTGAATCACATTTAGATGATATGGTCATCAAGAGTGTAGTTTGCTGATAAAGAGCTGAAATCACGAATGTATGTTTCCTGACGAATCCCACATCCGTGCTAAAGTGGGGAAATATTTCGGTGTTTTCACAAATGTGAGATAGCTACCACACACAACTTGCTAGCTGATCAACTGAGATCATTTTGCGCTCAGAAACACACCAGTGATAGGTACAGTGATTTGCACATCAGCTGGATTTTCGCGGGAGAATCTCTCCTGTATGCTATTCTTCGATTGAATGTACTGCATAAAGGCCGCCTCATGTCTCAGTTGGTACGATATTCGAGATATCGTAGTATATTTTCACAAAAGAAACTACTCACAAGGTTGCTGAAAACTCCTCGACAATGATAGCTTAGTTGTTAGAATAAAGATAAGACACGACCTATAGAAACCGTGCACACAAGGTACGCTGCGGACACAACAAAATAGCCCATCGAAACTTGCTAGGATTGGCCATTCATATTCGGAAAATAGTTGCGCAGTTGTGTGGTGACTGCGGTAGTTGAAGCAGTGACGTGAAATAATGGCTAGCATTTTAAGCTACGGCGCTGTTTCGCATTACGTTTACGTCATGTTAGATTTACTCAAGAACATAGTTCTGTAATTTCTCATTTTGCCTAGTTCCCCATTATGAATGTATCGCGGTGGATGAGTGTATGTAGATGGACTGAATTAATCACGAAAATTTGTCCCTGTCGTTGCATCGTTCAAATAGATCGGGCGAAAACACTGTCCTAAAACTGGGACACCAATTTATTCGGAGTGAATAAGCGCCACCTAGTGTGATAGGTTTGACCTCTGGCACCGTTTGAAAATAGTTAGAGGTGAATTCGATAGGGCATGTAAAAGTATGTGAATGAACCAGATAGACAGCTGATCATAAGACGGAGTAATTTTGAGAGTAAAATGTAATCGCTCGTTTCAGAATTTACTTGAACTAGTGAGGATGGGTTGCATGCATCTCTCGGATTACTCCAAACCATTTATCCAGTATGACATATCGTTCTTTGTACATGTCAAACGATGATGGATGTAAATCGATAGAGAATGAATGCCAGTAGACTTCACTCCCCTCATTTACCTGTTTTGTAGACGTCACTCGGTGTTAGCGAATCGGTCAGGCTTTCGTAGATCCATGCTAGCAGAAGTTCAAAATTATTGTTCACCTGGAGCGAGATGGCTCAGTGATTAAGGCGCGAACTTACCGACAGAAGGTCGATGCTTAGGTCCCAACCTCGGCATCTCGACTACTCCTGGCTAGGTTTGGACAACTTGTCAATATCTTAACCTCCTTATTTTCTTCAGGTTGCATGATAGCTCGGTACTCAAGTGGCAGTCAGTCTGCAGCATCGAGGAGAAATCAAGCGTGCATACTGCCTACTAACCTGGCCTAATATCATTCATACAAGTACATCATGTTCCCCTAATTTTATGAAGTCACATGCTGGTTGCGTCATCTCGGAAATTTGACAGGGGAGAGGTGAAACTGGCACCTGTATGTCATGTATGTATGTATGTATGTATGTATGTAAGTATGTATGTATGTATGTATGTATGTAAGTATGTATGTGTATGTATGTATGTATGTATGTATGTATGTATGTATGTATGTATGTATGTATGTATGTATGTATGTATGTATGTATGTATGTATGTATGTATGTATGTATGTATGTATGTATGTATGTATGTATGTATGTATGTATGTATGTATGTATGTATGTATGTATGTTTTAACTGGTTAGTACGCTAAATACTCATCGAGTCTTTCAGAAATGGCACCTTTGCTCACGCGTTCGATTCTGATTAGGCGGCTACTGTGACCGAACTGATAAAAACACTGAAAGAACAAAAGGCACTTTGATTGACATTTTCGGCGGCCCTGTACCGTTGGCGTGCAACTCCGTTAAAAGAAAGGAGCAATTAGATCAACGAAGCTGGAAATTCCCCATTATTCGAGAGGATTTATATTGGAACCTTCTGGTCCATAAAATCGATGGATGAGTTTAACAGTGATTCTGAGAAAGCCGTATAGACGTGGCGCTCCTGGTTGCTGTGATATAGGAAGGGTAACTACAAATGTTTGATCATACACAATTTAGTTTGCCTCTATTTCCAGTGCAATAAACGCTCACTCTGAAAGATAAGCATTGAGACTGTGAGAAAAGATTTTGTATCATGTTAGGCGAAATCTATAAAAGAGATGATCGTTCACCCTGCGAGCTCTTAGCATAAAAAGCCTTTGTCATGCTACTTATATCATTGACGACAATAGGACAAATATCAGGCATGGTACTATGCGTGGTCACAAAACGAACCACGAACACCAGAACCAAGAGTTGTTTGCGCTTGAATCGTCATGGTAATCCATCATTCACCATGAATACGTCTCGTATTTGTCCCACTGGATCGGTAAAATAAACGGAGTTCCTCGCTTGCCGCACTATTTGATCCCCACCAAAGCTTTAGAGAAAAATTATGCTGTCGAAAAATTTGTGTAAGCTTTTTTGTCTGTTTCATATTAAGACAACACAGCTTTCTATCTGGAGTAAGAGTTGAGGGAAGGTACTTTCGGCTTCTAATAGCGGACATTGTAAAAAGCGTGATCCTAATTGAAAGAAAACCAGTGACCTATCTAGGTGACAGTACGACGCTCGTATCGGCTAGTTAATTTGATCTCATTCAGGTGGGAAGTTTGATAGCTCATTCCGATGGCTTGGTTTGTCGCTAATTATCTGTCCGTCGTTCTCGGTGGTCTTCAGTTGGCCAGTTTATATTTTTGTGTGAACTTCTGTTGTTACCTCGTTGCATAGCTCACGGATGTAAAAGCCGGTGGTGCGACCGTGTTCAATCGCCTTGGAGCTTTAGTGAAGCCCGTCCGTGGAGCAGCCGGGTTTTGGTATAACTTGCATCCCAGTGGAGAGGGAGATCTTCGAACGCGACATGTCGCTTGCCCGGTTCTGGTCGGTTCCAAGTGGGTGATGAACGTCTGGTTCCATGAGCGTGGTCAAGAATTTCGTCGCCCGTGTGAACTGACAAGAGGCCCAGTTGAAATTGATGATGGATTCTGAACATCAATGCTTGTGGTACAAATTGGCCACAAAGAATGCGTTCCGGTCAACGATCGGACTTGTGTTTTGGTATTTTGTTACCTGTTTCTCTCTGTCAGAAATGGTTGTTAATGTACTTCATGTATTCTAATGTAAATGTGTTGCGATTCCTAGAGGTGCTGTTGGTTTCAATTATATGCTTTACGTTCTAGGTGATATCTCCAGTTATCATATGACGCATGCACCTTATCTAGTCATTTTCTGAAATTGACTTGGTGTTAAGACATTTGCATTTTTTCATTCTGATTCCAATTGCCTAATGGGGAAAAGTGACCATTACTTATAGCGAACAGAGTGGTACTCGACTCTCGATGGATCAAGGTATGGTTATGGTAAGGTTATGATATTCTCTCAGCCAATGGGCAACAAAAAACAGGTGACTACGATTGATCGCAGCTGTGTTTGTATCTCACCTTGCTCATGGCGCAGTTACGCTCCTGCTGTGGGCTATTTAAAAACATTACTTAACCAATGTCTGCCGGTTTTGTTTGAAAGGTCGCTGATGAAAAACATTTCTAGTTTCGCAACTTGTTAGAATACATCAGTTAGTGACAGGAAATGGGGTGATATTCCTTGTATTTGTTTGCAGGACTTGTAGAGTTCACTTCCACATCACGCTAATTTAAGCAAGCGCTTACAACCAATTAAAAACGGTGCCCATTAGCCGCACAATGCTGTTAGCTGCAAAACCTTCTTAAGTAGAGTAAAACCTTTTGCACCAAAATTTTGCATTTTGTTGCGTATGTGCTCAACCCAAGAAGCATCTTAAACTACGTTCATATTTTTGCAGAACACCAAATTTCAATGTCCACCGGAGCAATCATACCTCTGGCCAAAACATCTAGCGGAATAATTTCTCAGCATCGCTGAGACCCTGGGTTGCCCAAATGGGGCTCAAAAGTTTGTACTGGCACTCTGAACTCAACTGATCGATTGCTTTAGTCCATCAGGGACAGGTCATAGGTTTCGAAAATTCAATCCCATTGTGCGAATACTGGGCGGCATTAAAAACTGCCCATCGGGATTCAACCGCCTGTGGCGCATCCTAATTAACGGGGCCCTGACAGGTGAGCCAACTGATGGTCAACCAAGACAATTGCTAGGTCGTCGATCGAGCACTCGGGCAATCGCACCGCTTGCATCTGAATACACTCGCCAGTTCAGATGTGGAATGCGCTAATGGAGTAGTGGTTACGCGCTCGCCTCGCATGTCAGATGTGTGGGGTTCAAACCTCAATACGCCCAAGGACATGTACTGCTGATGCGCCACAAAGAGAGCGAAGTTCGAGTCCAGCATGTGTTTAATTCCTTGAATATTACTACTTGAATATTACTATAATATTACCATGTTGCTTTGCGACCTTGGTCGGCGTATCTGAAAAAATCCCAGGTGGGACTTGGTTGCCTGAGTCTCACTCTAGGAAATTTGATAAGGAATAGTGTGGACAGGTTAGATGTGAATGGGGCACAAATTAAATTGTGTTCAAGTCTGTTGCAAGCAACGGCCAGTTTGTACTTTGGCCGTATAGACAAAGCATTCCCCAGGCTTGCGCAGCGGATGATCCAACCTATATAAACGAATCAGCCAAGTGGAATTACAGTCTACTTCCTTGCTATTCATCCTATCACTAAAAACTTTCATGCGGCAGTATAGCGATAACACGGATCGCCCATGGAAGGTGTGGAATGTTCAGTTCATAGCTCCCTTTCCATGATCCAGTCTTACATCCAAAAAACAGAATTGAGTGCACTGCTTTACCCGATGCCCAAGTTTTCACCATGACACCAACCTACTTGGGTCACTGAAGGAACACCTACCCTAGTTCCATATCCGTTCAGTTTTTTCAATTCACTACACACCATTATCTAGGATGCGAGAAACAGACAGGCTTCTGCAGCTTAATTCGTCTAGGTTTTATCAACACTGAAAACCCTTTTTATGGCATCACATATGACCGTCACTTCATGGCATGTATCCGAATTCGGATGTACGGTGCTTCCCCGCGGTTGGAATTTTCGCCTTCTCTGGATATACAGTGCAAATTATGGTAATCAATTATCAAGAGACTGCAAGCACACATGCCAGAGCATATCACTGGATTAGTGACTGTATGACGATAATGGTAGCTGTAGGATCCTTAAACGTCATCCAATGTAGTTCAGGCAGCGGTTAGATGAACAGCACTCCGGCAACACATGGCCCCTATTCACTTTTCAGATTTCGACCAAGAGTTATACTACATATACTATATACTATATATACTATGCTGTGTATACTATATGTCTTGATAAACACAACCCAACCGCTACCAGGATTCACGTTAGACATGCTGTCCCTTTTTGTTCGGATGTGCGCGCCGCTTGAATCTGTGGTCATGTACGCGTCATCCAAGCGCTAAGAAATACGCTCTAAGTGTTGTCAACAAAGAGCCCTTCGATTATCTGCCAAAATTTCACTTTGCCCGCCCTGGATAGCCTGAGGATGCCGATGACGAGCTGGTATCACTACACTCTGGGTAGGGCTTCACGGGTGTCCTGTTGTTTTCATGAAATTTCATATTGGACTTCACGTTCTCACTTGCTGGATGCAAAAAAAGAGACAAAAATAAACAGACCAATAAGTTTCTACACAGTACTTCTTAGTTTGGTTGAGGTTCCCGTACGATGATCGCCACCATCCCAATGATAGTTTTGGTGGAACTTTGCGAAATCAGAGTGGAGAGTGCACAGTATGGAACAACCAGTTCATTGGCCCAATTTTGACACATTTTCTGAAATCATAAGAGCCGTAGCACCGCCTGATTGGTCCACTGATGTGTTTCGTGGCTAACATCTGGCAATCCCATCCATGGCCTACATGTGTGAAATGGCCACTTACCACGACAGAATTACGAACAGCCTTGGAAACTCGCTCAGAGTGAACTTACCCGTGACCGGCTTTGGCACCATGCGCAGCTTGCTGATTGTCAGAAAAAAAGGGTCATCTTCAGTCCTCCTACAGAGTGTCATAAACGAGAGATTTTGCTGCGATTCTGTTGATCTTTCAGCTTAAAAACAAAATTTGCGTAAAAATGACTGTAGTTGGCAAATTTCGTAAAATTTGGGTTGAAGTAGAACGGCAGGCTCACTAAAGGGAGACTAGGGGAATGCGCCTGGAGCGTAACCTTTCGTGGGCAATCGAAAAGTCCTATCTATACTTCCTTCAAGGTGAGTTTCTCGAAAAACCAAATTAGTTTGCAAGTGAGTGTATTTCGCTAGTTTCGTGCAATTGTAGAACATAAGGTTGACGGGAACTCAGGGACCACACCTACGTGATGAGCAACAGGATGGGTGAAACCGGTGGTGAGCTGTCGAACAGTTTTCAGCAAACTTGTGAGTAGTTTCGTTTATGAAAATATACTGCGATATCTCGAATATCGTGCCAACTGAACCATGAGGCGCCTGTGTGCAGCACATCCATTGTAGAATATCATAAAAGAGAGATTCAGTTGAGTTTCTCGTGCGAACCAAATTGATTTACAAATTAGTGTATTTCTCGAAAACAGTCCAATTTGGGTTCAAGTAGAACATAAGGTTGACGGAAACTCGGGGACGGCGCCTACCTGATGAGCCCAGAGCAGAAGGGCGAAACTGGTCGCGGACCTGTCGACGATTTTCAGTAACCTTATGAGTGGTGCATTCCAAATTCGAGGTACTTAACGCATGCACTTTTGTCACGTGATATTATGGTCGCAGTGCAAGCCATATATTTTGCACTCCAAGAGAAGCATTCTAATTTCCTATTTTTGAGCCTTAATTACATCATTTAATTGTTCCTCTTGACACTAACCACGTGCGCATTTGCAGTGAGCAAAGCACGCACCAGCGAAAGGGGTCTGAACCTAATCTGAACGTATGCAAGTTGGACAAGTCAAAACAAATGTGTTATAGTAGTGTCGCGCAGGCAGGGCATAAGATGGTGAAATTTAGTAAACCGAAAAGTGCTATTGGATAGACGGTGGTCTTTTGTGGGGAGAACGTGGGCACGGGAATTGGTGATTTGGTTGGCGGTGTTGGCAACCTTGGCCACTCACGGGAAGCTAAAAAGGCAATCTAACCAGTCCTGAGGTGCAGTGATTTTGGTGGATCTGGCTAAAACTGCCAGCATGAATCGCGTCATCGTTTTGTATTCTAAGAAAGGTTACAGGTAAGTCTGTATGGAGGTAATTCTGTTTGCGGAGTTCGCGCCTTTTGCAGTGTGCTGTAGCAAAGAAACAGGTAACCGAATGCAAAACAGTCAGTGAAACTAGTTTGGAAAAAAGACGTTGTGTGTATTTGGAGGTCCATGAAATGGGCTTGGCTAGATAGAACGGCAAATCCTCTCTGCTAGCTAGTGTCACACATCGGGATCTGTTGACTTGTTCATCACATCGGCTTCCATTGTATCTGTTATGGTTAATATAAATGCTGGACGGTGATTGTGCTAAAAAATAGAGTTGCGAAACCACGACACCAACTATCTATAGACTGGTACGTTTTGTTGAACCCAGAAGAACTGACACTCCTTGGTCCCATCTCAGTGATGTATCACAACCATTCCACCGGAATAAGAACGTTCTTATCAGAACGCGTCCATGCTCTCCCAACTTTTCTCATTCCAATCATGTCCTTACCCTACTCGCTTGATTTGTTAGTAGCAAATGCATGTGTAATTATTTCCAGGAAGTACGTTGTAGCTACCTGATATTTCAAGGCGCCTGCACGATATCAACAGTAACTACCTCTGGCGTTACTGAAATTGGGCTTACTATGTCATGATTGTGCTGATTGCGCCCTGTGAACCCTCAACTAGTACCAATGATTTTCTATGGAGAAAAGTGGTAGCTCAGGTAGCGTAGATGGTCGTTGGCTTGTTCGCTGAGCTGGGCAATTTGATTGCAAACGTTTCATCACCAATAGAAGTGACATCATCATTGCGTTATTGGGGAGCGTAGTGGTGCGTACCGGTGGGTTAACGGTTTTGCGTTGAGTAACGTCACGTGTGTGTTAAGATACGTGCTGCTAGCCGAGGATGACCTTTGATTGCGATTAGTTGTTCGGTCGGGTGGTTCAGTTGGTTGCTCCATTGTCCTGTGTCCTCATTCACCGGTGCCCACGTGACCTTCGAGCTTGGTATCCCCTGCTGTTGTAATCTGGCCGATGCTGGATTGACCTTTGTCCCTTCGAGTCCTGGCTTGTGACCTTTACTGATGTGGCTCCAAGGTGTTCCTCGTTTCTTTGTTTGTGAATCCAATATTCGGTCCTCCTTGAGTGTTCCGGTTGAGATGTTGGTCTTTTGTACGTATGAGTGCATAAAATAGATCCAGTTCGATTCAACGGTTGATCAAATCTGCCATGGACTACCATACTTCCAGAAATTCTCTTCCGTGTCTCATGTCTCCGTATGTCAAAATTTCTGCGTTTTCCAGATTGAATTTGTGGCCTTCTTGGTCCTCGTGTATGGATATCAAGGACAGGGAGTCATGTCTCCCGACGGCCTCGTGGTCCTCTATTCGTGTGCATAATTTTCTCCCAGTTTGTCCGACGCAGAATTTGTTGCAGTTGTTGCAGTTGATTTGGCATATCACATTATTCTTCTTAGTTTTAGAATTAGACATTCTCAGAAAACCGTTCTGTAAAGACTATCGTTATCACTCAACCTATGATTTAACGGATGTGATTGGGTGTGCTCAGCTTCAGCTGACCACTGCCCGTTGGTGCATCTCGAATGAAGCAGTCCGAAATAATTTATTTCTGAAAGCCAGGATTGCGTTGGATACTGTCGGTAGTTAGCAGGATGCAATTGCATCATTTTTCGCCGACTTTCTAATAATTCTGATTTAAATTTCATGCCCATATTGTGCTATCCGCATTAAAACCTATAATAAAGTAATAAACTAACATTAGATTGCTGAAGACTGTTCGAAGAGTTTTCAGCAACTTTACGAGTAGTGTATTGCGTCTGTACAATATATAAAGCTATCTAGAATATCGTACCAACTGGACCATGAGGCGGCTTGGCGCAGTACATTCAGTTACTTAAAACGAGTGATTCAGCTGGATTCCTGGTGAGTCTTCCGCAAGAACCAAATTCGTATGCAAATGAGTGTATTGGCCGCAATAAAGTAAGTTTACGAACATACTTTTTGTACCGGCCATATTCAATATCCTAATTTTCCACAGCCAACCAACATTGCAAACCTTGTAGATGCATATGAAGCCACCCTCTTGCAACGATCTAGTACAATCTTACAGTTAACAGGCAAAAAGCAAACAGTCCAGAGAACGCAGTAGAAGCTCATGTTTCCAAACCATTCGTTTGAATGATCTGGCAGCATTTCTTTGGAGGGATGCTAAGGCGTTATTTTCAAACCCTTGCAAGGTATGAAAAATGATTCATCTTGAATGGATCGAGCCGCTAATCCAGAGGGCGTCACCTGATAACATCAAGGCTTTGGTTGAGAAACCCAATCGCTCTCCTGTCTAGGTATGGGCTGCCTGGCAGTATCCCAGCCCACGCACAACAGGCTACTGCTGATGCCTTTCTTCATTCCCTCTCCCCTTCCCATTAATCACACTTTCATTGTAAGCCCAGCATTTGGGACTGGGGACTACTAGGGTTTGCAAGGAACCTCTCCGCATCATCTGGCACGGACATCCTCAAGCTCCTCGAAATCAATCTTCAAGCCTTGACACCCAGTCTATCCGCCGGCCTTTAATGTCCGCACTCTGAAGCAAGCAGGTCAACAAGCTGCTCATGCTCACACTGGAGTCTCTTGGTATTGTTTTATCACAGTTTATCATCATCATCATCATCATCATCAGAGTTTATCAGAGTTCAAGTC